CCTGCTTGACGGCTACGTTCAACTGCATCGCCGACGTGCTTTGCTGTCGATGCGGTGGTGGTGGAAGACGTAGGACGAAAGTCTGATCTCCGCAGCGAGAAGCGGAAGCATCGACAGAGTAGCAGAATAGCGGGAAACTCGAGATTTCTTTGTCCACCCGCATCCGCTAGTTATGCCTGCCAAGCAAAACTCCCTCCCTTCGTTTCGCAATACGATACCCGCGCCCATGCACGAGACTCCTTTTCCAACCCGATAGTCAGCCCTGCCAAACCCCCTTTTTCGTCATCTTTGCAATACGATACCCGCCGTTGAACCCGCATCTCACCTATCCACTATGTCAGCAACCGTCCGATGCGTACACCGCTGGCTGTGCGATCACTTGTGAAAAATCTTCGTATCCGCATCACCGCAACGATGCCTTTCGACTATCTACCGACCCATTTGTGACCGAACGGACACCAATGCAACCCGAAAAACACTGTGTGAGTATACGAGCACAGAAACAAATACATTGTTGTGGAAGAGAAAAGAGGAGTACATGCTCGACATGCCTGCGCAGAAACGTCCCCAATGCGTATTGCTGACACCACACAGGGCCAGCAGGTAAAGACGGATCAACGCAGGAGATGACGACGAGATTGTTCGGGATTTGTACCGAAGTGAGGTGCGGCGGTAGGGTCGACCTTGTCGTCCAGTGACCTGCGCTGCAGAGCAAGTCTGTCGTGAGAAAGCCGGTCGATCTAAGATTTTGTTCGATGGCGCGGGTGCAGCGTGAAAAGCAACGCCGACGACGGAAATGAGATGGAGGGAAGGGAAGGGTATCTGGAATGGGAGATGCGGAGCTGAACCGAGCGGAAGCTGTTCAGCACCCTCCGAGCTGCTCGATCATTGCGTCGATTTCATCCTGGTCCTCCATGTTGAGCTGCGGACGAGAAACGAGAGCCAGAGACGATCGAAGTCGGGAGTACCGATGCGGAAGTAAAGCAAACATACGAGATCAATGTGAGTATTTTGTCCGGTTGAGTTCTTGAAGCCATTTGCGGGACCTTCTGCGAAGTTCACTACTTACCGTCTCGGCGGTGTCGTTGTCACCGATACGCTGACCATCAAAGATGAAGCGGACGCTGTTCTCGGGCTTTCCCATCCTTTCGGCATACGCCTTCTTGAGCTTGGAGAGCTTTGTGGTACGCTTCACCTTGAAGAAGACCTCGTTTCCATCGGCGTCCTTGACCTTGATGTTAAGCTGCTCACCACCTTCGGGCTTGGGCTGTGGAGCTTCGGCGTCAGACATGTTTAATGGTTTTGAGTGGTGGTTCGACGAAGGTAGGTCGGTGTTCGCGATGTGCGGATGCCGAAATGCAGGTTGCGGGTCGAAAGGACGATGCAAAGTAGGATGTGGTCGAGAAGAAAGAGAGCTGAGCAGATGGTGATCCACGTATGAAGCTTTGTGGCGAACAAAAGAGTCGAATCCAACTGTCGCGTTCTGCAGCTCGAAGCGCCCAAAGCGTTCAACAACGCTCAAACAGAGTGTACTGCAACTCAGCACTCTTCTCCCTTTCAGCCTCGGAACCGAACACGCGTGCGGAAACAAGTGGAGGAGCGGAGCAATTTTTAGCCTGTTTTTTGCGACGCATTTTTCGGCTCGATTTTTAGAAAGTGATTTCTCAAACATATTTCTACACAATCACGCATTAATCCGCAGTGCGGATGCATTCTGTGCCCTGTGATCTGCTGCCTTGAAATTTTTCGGTGAGAATTTAGAACTTCTTGATCTCGAACCCTGAAGTTGCTCACACTCACACCTTCACTCGGAAGATCACGTTGAAACCAGGATCTACGCCGACTTGTCATTGTTTACCTTCGCATCAAAGAGTCAGAGCCCACCAAAAGCTTTCTGGAACGAACACGGCATTGCTGCTTCGGCACACGATCACATTGTTGCGCTGCCGGGAGCCGTTCGAGCGTTCATCGGTCTCATCTTCTCATCTCGTTCGAATGACCTTTGGAATCTTCGCCTTGGCTCAAACATAGCGCAAGCGTCATGGAAGCAGGCGAGTCGATACATTCCGCTGCTGCCGGTCCATCCGCTCAAAACTGCGCTTCATCAGCCTTGCAACAGTACCCAGCATCCGGAAGCGCAACCGACAAGCAACAGTGGAACGGCCTCAACGCAGGAACGAGCCCAGAGCATCCGTCTCCTGATCTGACCATCATGGATCATGTTCCGCAGCTCGAGGCTTCCGCCTTGGCCGATCTCATGTCCCCTTCAAAAACTCGGGACCCGGCTGATCCGACCGAACCGTCGCTGGAGGAGCAGATTCAGGCCTTCACCGCCGGGCTCGCCGATCAGCTCGGATCTCAGCCCGAGGCACACTTCACGCCAATGGAAGGCTCAGCCGTCAACAGCACCTATGATACGCCTACACAAGGCCAAGGCACACCGGCAACAGCCGAAGACATTTCTTCGTTCGAAACGCTCATCGCTTCGCTCATGCCGACGCCGCAAACTGGCTCGCCCGCACCACAGCAGCCAGAGAGTGCTTCCGCACAAGCCGGTTCCCAGCCCGCTGCTGCTCCTACGACGCAAGCAGCATCGACGGCTTCTGAACCTCAGGCATCTTCATCCTTATCTGCCGCCAACAATTCCGCTCAGAGCTTTGTCGACAACCTTCTTCGAGACGCCAATCTGCTCCCTCCAGAAGCTTCAGCCCAGCAACAGCAAAGTGCTTCTTCTTCGTACGATGTAGCAGACGCATCCACCACCGGTCCTAGCACTGCGAACGAAGCAAAGTCCGGGACCGTCGGCGACGATGCCCTCGCAGCCAGCTTAGAGCAGTTTATGGCCAGTCTTCAAGAACGCGTCTCATCCAGCCTCGCCACCGAAGGTACCACAGAATTCCAACAGCCAAAGGAAGCACCATCGACCCCTGCCAAACCCAAGCCATCGCCGCAAAAGCAGGTCAAGCCTATCAAGAAGCCCAAGAAAGTGCTCGGCAAGCGAAAATACCGCGAAATTGGTCCCATGGAACGCCGCAGCAGGGTGGAGAAAGCCATCTCCGAGTACATAGCCAGCATCGACACCTTGACCAAGCCAAACACTGTTACCGGTCCCATCCCAGCAGCATCAAAGACGAAAATGACCACCATCCGATGTTCACACGCTTCAGTGGCACAAAAAAGCTACGGATCCGAGAAGCGCTTCTTCAATCCTCCACCCATCATCAGTGTTACTGGTCCACTGCGGCGATATGCAGAACACGGCGCTGCTGTCCTGCATACCTCTCAGACCGCCGAAGATGCAGACGAAGAGGACCAATGCCGCGTCAGTCTACTGGTTCGCGGAGACACGGATGAGTTCTACTCGAACGAAAATGTCGCAGTGCTCGACAGCCGGCTCGAGACAAAGATGCGCTCACTCTACGTCACACCCACAGGCAGGTCCAAGGCATTCCGTCTGCAGCTCAACTTACTTCGCCCTTCGGGTCTCGAACCTCATCTGCCCATCTTCAGCCCGCTGAAAAAGTCACGAGCTTCCGAAGCGGTGTCTCCAGCGATTAGTACTGAAAGTCCTGCCAACGAGCAGACCGATGCTGGCTCCGAAGTCCTTTCACGATTGCCCAAGGGCTTGGCGTGGGCCTCCTTCGAGTCCGCACCCGTCGCAATCATCTCCAAATCCTCGAAGAAAACGGCGAAGCCGAGGGGTCAGACGAACCAAGTGCAGAACGGTTCTCTCGTCTCACTCTTCAACCGCATCAATTCGCAGACCGCTCGTACCAAGTACATGCACAGCAGCACAGGAGGTGACCTCACAGTGCACAGCGCTGAATGGTCTACCTACCGCATCACGCTCATCTCGCGCCCACCGCTGGCCGAGCTCGCAGGAGCCGAAGAGGACAGCGTCACTTACGGCTCGACAATTGTGCTGACCGACGTCAACACGGGCTTCAGCAGCGATCCACTGGTCGTGTGCAAGGTGGACAAAGGTCAGGTTCAACTGCCGCAGCTGGATCCACCTGCGGAACTACTGACGGCCGGTTCGGGGAACAAGTCTCGTAGGGTGCCGATAGATCGAGCGTTACGCGACAAGTTGGCAGCCGTGAGCAGGTCGTCGTCCAACGCGAATGCATCCATGCCGGGTCGAGGTGGTTCCGCTTTCACCAATGGCGTCGAAAGACCGGGAAGCAGTTTTCAGTCTGCCATCAAGATCGAAGGGGCAGAGACTGGCCTCAACTCGGTCTCTGCAAAGGGAGCATCTACGAGCGCCAACGACGGATCTGAGAGCAAGGAAAAGGACGATCTCAACCTCTACGGTCCCGTGGGCCAATTGCAAAAGGTAGCGTTGATGCGCTTCGTACCTAGCGACGACAGCGAGACCGTCTTTGGCGACTCGGAGCATCTCGAGTCCAACTTCTCCACCCCTCGCAGCTACCTTTGTGCCATGATGCCCGACGCTTGGAAGCACACTTCGCCAGACAAGGTCGGACAAGAGCCCCTCGCCGTAGATTTTGCACAGACGCACGAAGAAGGGCTCGGGTTGGGCATGCCTCCATCCGACACCAAAGATCGCCACAAGACGGGTGAGAGCAACTCGATCGTCTTTGTGACACCAAAAACGGTCACTGCATCCAAGGAGAACGGGCCGGGCATCAAGATTGTCGATGAAGTAGACGATGCTTATGTCTGGACCGTGATCGGCGTGTCGCGATTCGAGTATTCCTACTTTGACACGAGCGCTACGCAGGCATCCAAAGACGAAGGTCCATGCGAGGTACCCATGACGCCCTTCCCCCTGATCACCTCCATGCCCACATACGATCAAACAAAGCATACGCTCGTCACCACCGTCACCAACTTTATCGTCCCCGCAGCCATCACTTCCGACCCCATCCCACTCGACGTCTGGGTAGGCAGCTTGGGCCCACTGAAGGTCCAACACACGACCAAGCCAGAATCAGAAGTCTACATCACCGTCACTCTCCCGCCCATCCGTGATATGTTGAAGCTCGCGCTTACGGGAAAAATCGACAATCCGATGTCCGGGGACACCGTCCCGCCACACTTTTTGCTGCCCTTGATATTCGTCAACGACTCGGATGGTACAGCCTACCATTCAGGCCGTCATATCGTCTGCGAGGATCTGGTACAGCTCATGAAGGCAACCGGTCACGACACCACGGCAGACGTTCTGAAACAGCTAGGATTTGGTTTGGGCGACCTAGCCGGCCCGCCGAAGGACGGCGCTTGGAGCTTGCGCATCATTTGACCCGCACAGACAACCACATCCACTTTACCTTGTACTTGTATCCCTTTTCATGGGTCCCGCACCGCATTCAAAGACATTCAAAGTTTTCAATCTGTCGTGATCGAAGCTGATCGCTTCAATGAGTTGGCTAGGATGACGTGACGACAAATGAGTCTCGATCTTGTATTTGTTTACATTCTTGTTGAGCATGGAAAACCGAAACTTTGCACGATATGATGGCTTGCAATTGTCCGCTGTGTGAAGCCGATGGCCCACCACTCAGGCAGGCTCGATCTCGTTCAACGACTGTACCGACACGGGACACAGATCGAGCACCTCCTGGTCGAACTCCAACTCCCGGATCTTCTGCGGATGGATCGCGATCGCCGCCATCAGCCCCTCGGCCACATGCATCGCGATGTGGCAATGCATAGCCCAGACTCCGGGCAGATCAGCGATGATCCTCGCCACTATGTAACTCGACCTCGTCACCGTGATCGTATCCCTCCTCAGCGGGTTGACCAGATTCAGCGCGGTCCGGTTGACACCCTGCGCTTCTCCGTCGTTCAACGCGACCCACTGTTCGCGTGTCATGCTGCCCGATCCACGTGCAACGATGTGCATGTCCGTGGCGTGGAGGTGGAACGGATGGTCGAGGAAAGTGTCTTCGTTGTTGATGATGAAATCTGCCACCCAGACATCATCGGGCACGAGAAGAGAAGCGACGGAGGTGGTGTTGATGTGTCCGCCGCGATGGGTCACTTCGAGGTACGGCTTGTTGACAAAATTGGTCTGGGTGATGTTGTCGACGAAGAATCGACCGAGGGTGGTGCCGTTGGCGAGTTGGAGGTTGCCGAATTGCGAATTGAAGATGGCGAGGCTGTTGATGTCGTGATTCGGTGGGACGGAGGTGTAGACGGCGGGGATGAGTTCGGAGTCGTCGAGATCTTGACACTGGCTCCCCATGGCGTCCTTCCAATCGTGCGGTACGGGTGGGCGAGAGGGGACGTCGCTCCCAGGCAATTTGTACCGCAAAGTCAGGTTGGCAACGGGATTGAGCAGAGGATCGACAAACGAGAAACACGCCGTCATCATAGTCGACCGAAGCAAGAAGCTGTCACCATCGACGCCCTGATTGGTTTCGACCAGCACGTCGTGTCGTTGTCCGTTGTGGATCGGGACGCGGTGCACCCGGTGCGGCTTGACTGCAGTTCCGTCTGCGCCAATCACGTACATCTCATGATCATCGATCGAGATAATGTGCTGAGCATGCGAGCCAGTGTTGATGAAACGGAAGCGGTATTTTTTGTTCGGCTCAATGTCCATGGTGGGGGTAGGCAGCTGCTCGCATCTTGTCGGCATGCCCGGTTGCTTGCCTCTAGCACGTGCCAGAGCAGCACAGTCGAATTGACCAGCACCGTTGATGAGTCCGGACTGTGGCGACGGCGCCGCTGCCGTCCCGTTGTAACCCTGGGCGGAAAGCAGCTGCTTTACGATGTAGTCGGCGAAATCGTGGTAGTTGTCGGCGAACAAAAACACACGCTCGTCATCATAGTCGCGGCATTTCTGGTAAGGGTCGTTCTTCGAGTGCACGATCAATCCGCCGTACAGCCCATCGGTGTACTGCATCTTGGAGTGACTGTGCACCCAGTACGAGCCGTACTGGCCCTCGATCTTGAAACGATACGTGAGGTGACCACCGGGTGGGATTGGACACTGGGAAAATCCAGCAATGCCGTCCATGAATGGGGTGTTGTTTTGGAACATGCCGTGCCAGTGGATTGACGTGCCTTCGTCGAGCAGATTTGTCACTTTGACAATGAGTGTATCTCCTTCGTTGACCTCGATCAGGGGAGCGGGTGATTGGCCGTTGACGAGGATTCGCTTCTTGAGGAAACCATCGGGAGCAGAGGGGCCGTAGGTGATGGTCCAGTCGTGCTCGCGGATCTGAGGCGTGAAGTCTCTTTCCTCACAGCTTTCCACACAGCCCGGATGTTGGCTTTGATCCGAGTCCGTGCCGTTGACTGGAAGCTCCGGTGAAGAGCCGGATTGGCCTTCTTCCTTCCCGCCATTCCCTTTTCCCGGAAAGGGTCCTTCGTCATTGGGATTGTCCAGAAGAGGATCCGGCCAGATACCGGGAGCTGGTCCAAGACCATGTAGTTGGGCGTCTGGACCATAGCTCCCAACGGTACGGCTAAACTGACGCATGGTGTTGTTGGCGCCATCACCGTTTGAGCGATCTCCTCTCCGCGAGAGGTCTGTGACGGGACGACTCAGAACGGCTCCACGGTACGGCTCTCCGCCATCACGATCGCGGACGGCCAGCGACGCTGGTCGAGCCTCAGCATGACGGACAGTGAGCCCAATGATGACCAACAGACTTGGGGAGATCCTCATGCTTGGCAGTGTCGAGCCAGAGTCAAAAGGTTTATCGACGGAAGAGTATGAGCGTAAAAGGAAACGAGGGTCAGGAGCAGGGAGAAAACAGGGGAAGAAATGAAGGACAAGTGGCAGACATCACGGCTGAGTCGGGCGTATTATATCTTGCTGCCTATCCAGAACTCAGCACTGCAGCACAACAGCACGGAAAGGTGCTTTTGCACGCCACAGCGACGAGGCAACGAGTCAGTGAAGCAGCTCGGGCGGCCCGACAAAGTCGGGCTCTGCTTTCCTCTCAGCGTTGACAGCCTGCGTGACAGAAGAACGGAGATACGGTGCATGCCAATCCCACCTCGACGCCACCGTCGATTGGGTTCCGTCTCCGTGCGGCGGGGAGAAGTGGTGGGAGACGGCACAATATGGCTGGCTGCGGGAGATGTGTCGCCCACCAGACGGCACAGCAAAATACCATAGAGAGGTGAGACGGCACATCCGGCTCCGCCGCGTATGCGTGACGACAGATGGATTACGCTACCTTCACCTCGCGATTTTCATGTCCGAAATGAAATGTCCGTTGGGAAATGACCGGGTTGGGCGGTCACCCGTGAGACGAAGGCTGATCAGTCATTGGCGTCGGCATGACACATGGGCTGTGACGCTACTGGTGCAAAGCGAGCTTTTCGGACGACACCCGACGCTGGGCTGAGCAGGAAAGACAATTCGGCCCATCCGTTGAGGTCACGGCGATGGCGACAAGCGTTTCGCCGACTTCGTCTGGTCTTTTGCGAGGTCGAGTTCGAGGTAAGAAGCGCTCAAGGCGTGATGACGACAAATCCCATCTTGCAGCGAATGTGCGAACCAGCGTCCCTCTCCAGCCCTGTTGATGGAAGAGAGCAAAACACTAGCTGGGGCTCGTTTTGATTGACAAAAAGGAGCCGCGGTGAAGAATGAAGCGGAGCCGATGTTGCTCAAGCTTTCGACGGTGAAGTTGGACATCTTATTTGTAACTGACCGTACAATACCAAGCTCTGCCCATCAGGGGACAAGCTCAATGGACGACAAGCTCGATGTGCATGGCTACCAAGCGGAATTGGTCCGTTCCGTAATGAGAAGCAGCGGCAGACGACGGCCCGCCGGGTGGGACTCGGTTGTCACAAATTCTTCAATCCATTCCAAAAGCCTCCACTGCAGGTCACCGAGATACATTCAACGGGAAGTGGCAAGCCCAATGACCGGTGACAATCACGTCGTGCGGTGAATGCGACGCATGATCACGCACGCCCGAACCTGTCACGCTCTTGAGCTGACTTGGTCTGTCGCTGAAATCGAGCGAGTCGAGATCGAAGCCAGTTGAATATGACACTCGTTTCGAGAATTTGGCCGCTTCTCATCCCACCGCAGCCGGTCGCGCTGTAGAGTCTTGAGTAGGGTTGACACAGCTAACTTCGTTCGAGGTCGCGTGAGCTTCCTCGACGCACGTGAAGGTACACCATGTGACGAGAACCGCTGTTCCTCACGCCGGTAGAGGGTCGATTAAGTTTCTCGGAACAATGCAAGGCAATGATGACCTAGGTTCCCATCCTCTGCTTCGAATATGCCCTACTCGCTGTTCCGAGTCGATGAGAGAACAGGCACGGTGCGTATCCTCGCGCGATTCGCTGCTTATCCTCCGTTCTTGATCTCAGAGGATCGCTCCCAGTAGTGTTTCGGCTAGACTTCAATCGGAGAAGCTTCCGGAGCCTGGACGGCCGCGTCGGACGGTCCTTCCGACAAGTACTGCTGATAAGGTACAGGGCGCTGCCTCAAGAACTCACCAGTACGAATTGGCGGATGTGAAACTGCCAGCCCGAGGAGAAGCGTCTGCTCTATCGTCCAGGCTGCGAGACCCCCTCGGACTCTCGGAACCCGGCGTTCATGCCTCTGCTCGAAACGAGAATCGTCTCCTCGCTGGGCAAAAGCTTACGCTCAGCGCACGCCGATCAGGTGGTCGCTACCGCGATTCGCACGCGTCGGTGTTATCAACGGATATATATTGGTACATTGGATGAAACAGACCGAATGATCGAATATGTGAGCCTGAAAGGATCACTGGGTCTGGGGGCCGTATCCGCGCAGCATCTCGGCAAAGCCCCACGAAGTGGGAACACTGTAGGGTTCTGAGATCTCGCAGCCTTCCTTGGTTACCTTTGCCACCCTGAACCTGTTCAACGATCTCGCATCGCGGTAATACAACACCTTCATGCAATTCTCCATGATTTCCTTTGCCTCTGCTTCCGTCAAGGAATCCTCCCTACCCTCGACCATCTTTCGCAGCAGCGGCTGAGCCAAGTGCATGCCGAATCCAGTAGCGATCGTGCTGCTAGTAAACGTCGTTCCGAGCAAGTCGACGTAGCCCAGGAACGGCGTACCGTCCTTCGGATCGACACCTCCGAGAACGAACGAGTTCCAAAGCGGGTTGATCTTCGATCTTCGTTGGTACATCACTCGAGCCAAGTAGGCGTAAATCTGAGTTGGCGTCAGGTTGTGTCCGTCGGCGGCGACGTCCTCGGATGTGATGAGTTTCCCAAGCATGTGCTGGACGTATTGCCAGTCGCTCATATCGCCGCTTGCGCCAATGAGCGTGTTCTGGCCGAATTGAGAGATACGAGTGATGTCCATGAAGCGTGCGAGCGAGCCGTACGAGGCGAGCGTATCTGTGGCAAGCATGATTCCGTCCTTGTACTTGATACCGAGCACCGAAGTACCGGTGACGATGGGTTGAGACGTGTGCGATGTTGGGTCGGCTGAGGACGAAGCAGCTGCCGAGCTGAACGAGGGCGTGCCCATGTTAGCGTAAGCCTGGTTTGGCTGCGACGACCAGCTCTGGCCTGGGTGGAATCCGATCATGGTGATGCTGACTGTTCAGCTGTGGCTGTGATGATGGTGATGACAGAAGGATTTCGGTGATGTGATGGGAGTTAGTGAGTTGGTGAGTGCGTGGTGAAGAGTGATGGCAGAGAGTAGCGATGGTTTCATGTAGCAGTGTTGCCAAAAGGTGGCTCAAGCGGCTTTGCACTGAGCTTGCGTGTTCTCAGGCAACAGAGCCGCCTTTTGTACGCGTTGCGGACCACTTTGTCAGTTCATGTGGAGTGATCGTCCGAAATTTGGCCCCATGTTGAGTTGTTGCCATTGTCTACCTTAACATTAACAGTTAATGAATCTCAGGTTTTCGGACATCGGAAAGGCAACATGAAGCTCCACTTTCTCGAATCCAACTCTCTCCTTTCGTTTTCCCACCTTCACCTGCTCCCGCACGCATCGCCGCACCTCACGTACCATCATGGATTTCTCCTCACGGGGAGGCAACAAGGGTGCCGGCGTAGCTGGTGCCTCCGAAAGTAATGTCGATCGTCGCGATCGCCTACGAAAGCTGGCGCTCGAAACCATCGACCTCGCGAAGGACCCCTACCTTCTGAAAAATCACCTCGGGGGTCTCGAGTGCAGGCTCTGTCTCACACTACACACCAACGAGGGCAGCTACTTAGCACATACTCAAGGCAAGAAGCACCAAACAAATCTCGCCCGACGAGCTGCTCGAGAAGCAAAGGAGAACGCCTACGACTCGAACAAACTCATCACCGCCTCCGCGGCTGACACCGTTCCCAAGAAGCAGTTTGTCAAGATCGGACGGCCAGGATACAAGGTCAGCAAGGTCCGTGAGCCCGTGTTGGAGGGAGGAGAAGGGGGAAGGCTCGGTCTGCTCTTTCAAGTCTCCCTGCCAGAGATCAAGGACGGTGTCGTTCCGATGCATCGATTCATGGGCTCGTTCGAGCAAAAAATCGAGACTCCAGATCGCAACTACCAGTATCTGGTGGTAGCTGCGGAGCCATACGAAACGATCGCTTTCAAACTGCAAAGTAGAGAGATCGACAGGAGGGACACAGGTCTTGTCACATCCTCGGCCCCGGGAGCAAGGCCAAGGCCAGAACCATCAACCTGGAGCTACTTTGATCCGGATGGAAAGACGTTTTCGGTTCAAGTCATGTTCAAGTGACACTGTCTGGACCCCGCCCTCGACTTTTGCAAGCAATCTCATTATACCCTCGTTCCCGATTCGGCACCATCATCTTCGTCATCGTCTGCCAATCACTGTATTTGTATCAACCAATATTTCTCACAACACTCAAATCTGTATCGCACCACGCACGCCTCCTCAACACTTCGGTAAATAGGTCTGTGATTGTTGTCGACGTGATGAATGGCGAGGTCAGCTCAGAAGCTGGCCAGCTTGGTCTGCCCTAGCGACAGCCAAGAACTATATGCACGGATCTTCGCCTCGGAGGCTGGCAGACCTGTCGCTCCAGCCGCGGGTGCGGCCATGATTCCGGTCATGTTGGCGGCGGGTCCGCCCGAGGTCATGGGCGTTGGCTGATGCGATGTATTGGCGACGGGGAAGGCGAGCTGACTGACGGCGCTGGCATAAGATATGAGCACCGGATCGACCACCGAGTAGCGAACGAAACGATCCACCGCTGTCGGCTTTCCGTCACTGACTGCGACGCCTTCCTCGTAGATCTGAATGTCCTTCTCGTCGATCAGGTGGTAATCTTTGCCACCCGCACCAGTAGTCTCGCCCCTACCGTCATGCCCAGTAGCGATATCTACGTTTCCATCGGTTTCGTCGACGTGACTGCTGTCACTAGGTCGCGCGTGTTCGTCGAGGAACTGCGTTGTGTAGAATGCGTATTCCGACTCCTCCTCTTCTGAGATTTGTGGATTGCACGCCTTGGTGAGGGCAGCCTCGATGGCGACGTTCGACCCAGCAACCGCGGGCCCCACTGGATTGACAGTCTGCCACCGACCGGCAAAGTTGAACGAGTGCGGATCAAAGCCCCCCGTAGCGCTCGTGGATGGTTGCGCCGTGCTGGAGCCGAGCGCACCGCTGGTGCGATTCGATGTTGCAAATTGGTTCCGATTCGCATCGCCGTGGTCACCATCGCCGCCATCAGAAGAGGCGATGCTGTAGCGTTTGGAGCTGCGATGCCCGACGCCACCGAGACGAGGCGAGCCTCCTGGCCGGTTGATCGAAATCCATCGCCTAACACCACCGATGATCGCTTTCGAAGGCGGCAAGGCGCTCGTTGCGTCTCCAGGCGAAGCAGAGTAAGGAGCCCCATTTTGAGGTGAGACCGGGCTTCTCGGATCGTTTACCAATGTAGCAGACGTCTGCGTGGTAAAGCTGCGTGCGTCGTCGATCGATCGACGTCCAGGCTGCCGGTACGAACCTGAGTCCGTTCCTGCGCCACGCGGCTTGAATGGACTCGGATACTCGACCAGCACCTCGGCCTGCATGGCAGTGAACGTTGCGGTGGACAAGCTCGAGTTGGACGCTGACCGTGTATGACGTGAGAGATCAGCCGCGCCGCCAATTTGCGTCGAGTACATACTCAACGCCCCTGAAGACTGGCTGTGTGGCATTCCCAGGCCCCCGGAACTATGCGAGACTCCTCCGTGCAAGTGCGAGTACTGGTGGATAGCAGTCATTTTGAACGCGTGGTGACGATTGAGGTCCGTGAAGAGACTGGGTCGATAGTACTCGGCCCAAAAGCCTGCATCGGCATTAGCCACCTCTTTCAACCTGCGCTGCCGCGCCTCGATCGTTCCACGCGGCTTCAGATGCAACGGATCGAACCAATGCTGATAGTGTGGCCTGAACGGCACCGCTAAAACCGCTTTTGTCGAATTTGTGTTGTGAATGCTGCTCTGTACTTGTGCTGTCGCTGCTGCTGGCGGGACAACGACCGTCTCTGGGAAGACGCGCGGAGAGAAGTCTGGAGCCATTGAATCCACACCCAGGAAGAGGTTAATGGCAGCCTGCTTGTCTGCGTCTGCGAAGGAATTCGCGTAATACCGTTTCATACTCTCGAGCACGTCGCGAGAATGAGAGGTCCACTGGTTGATTTTCCTGTACGTATCGGTGGTATGGGCCAATGCGGACCCTCCGTACTGCATCGCGATGGTGTCGCCCAGGTCATGGTACATCTCGGTCAGCATGTCGGTGGCATCGGTGTCGAAGGGCAGCGAAGGGTCTTCGAGCAGTCCCAGGGCGTGCAGCTGGTGCCCCAAAGCGGCTTTGCCGATCACGAACTGCGCGGCGTTGGTTCTGTCGAGACAATCGACGCAATTGACCCTCGCAACCCCTTGCTGCAATAAGATCGTCTCTCGTCGAGCTGAAGCACTGTCGATCGTGCTTGTTGGGGATCGCACGGCGCCGGGTTGTGGGCCAGAATGGAAGAAGTGTGTAGTGTCGAGAGTCTCTTGCGCAATGTCCTCCAGAATACCAATGACGTCCTGGTCGTGATCCTTGCTCGCTCGGCTCATGTCCCATGCAATGTGTCGGATCTTTTTGTCAGACGGCAAGAATTGGTTGAGGTAGTTGATGCACTCTGTGAAAGATCGCAAGAGTTTGACCTCACGCTCTCCCTTCTCCTTGCTCTTGATCAGGTTCAGGACGATGACGGGAGCGCCATAACGGTGGAACAGCTCATCAAAATGGAGCGCTGCGGCCGAATAGTATGGGTCCACCAGCGAAATCTCGATCGGGGGTTTCGGCGACATATTGGTCGAGTCTTGAGTCCAGTACACGGGGATGCTTCCTCTCATCATGACATAGGATGTGTAGCGAGGTGAAGCGTCGAGCGGAAGATCATCAGTGTCGTCTTCGTCGTTCTCGTCTGCACGTTGGGATGCGTCCAGCCCAACCAGCTTGCTGGCATCCATCGGCAGTGGCGATGAATAGAATGGTTTTTCTCGTAGACGACTTGCCCTGATCGGGTCAGGGCCGCCTCGCAGGCCGCCTGATGGAGCACGAGGATGCCGATCCTTGGATTTGGCTCGCAGGCGCCCGGGAGCAAAGAAGGGCGTCGTGAGGGCCTCACTCACGATCTGCTCTGTCTCGACATCGTTGGCGACATGACCCTGCTCATTGACACCTCGCTTGAGGAAGCGAGCGCCAGCAAAGTGTCGCGATCTTCGAGCGATTAGAGTTGTGTACACTGTGCGGTTGAGAACGCTGAGCTTGGCCTGATCCACAAATCCGTACACGAGAGGCAGCACCCACTCGCTGCGGGGATCTTCGTGCGGTTGCGAGTGCTCCGAAGCGGCAAAGGCGGGAAGCAGCAGGTGGTGATTCCACATGAACTTTTCATTGAAACCCCAGGCTGTTAAAGGTTTGTTCGAGGGTGACACGGAGCTGGCTTGTTCAAGAGGGTCACCGGGAGCGGAAGTGAGGTTATCTTGCAGCGTCTTGGTCAGGTCGTAGGTATAGCTGAAATAGAAGTTCTTGCTGAGATCGACCTGCTTGAAGAGATGGAGGAGACGCGCTTCTTCCTGCTCCATCAGCTTTGTGCGGCCAGGCAGGGACGCTAAAACGGACTGGTGACACACTGGGAGAGTGACCGTCTCGTCACAGTGGTATATGTAGTGGCCGCCAATAAGGCCGACCACGCTGCGACGACTTATCAGCACCATGTAGTATGTGCTGGTGAATCGGATGAACCCGACGATGCCAAAGAAGCGACCTACTTCATGAAGACCGCCGGTGGCGCGGTTGCCCTCACGAATCATTTCGAGGAGCTCTGCAACTTGAGTGCGTGAGTAGACCACACGATCGGACGTGACGTTAAGCTCCCAGTCGGCTGCGACGCTTTTGAGCGTCGAGCTGGAAGCTGTCAAGCTAGATCCCGATTGGGCTGCCTTGGCGGTGGAAGCGCTGGTTGTTGCGCTGGACTTGACGTCGAGGGCTGAGTTGGCCGTAGCGGTGGCCTTGGAAGGTGCTGCAGAAGCTGAGCCTTTGACCGAAGCACCTGCGGCGCCGGTGGCTGACGCCGTCGAGGACTCGCGAGGCACATGCTTGGCATCGAGCATGCGCCGATTCAACCGGCAGATCTGAGGGTCGTCTAGCGACAGGTATCGCTGTCCACGGACTGAGCAATCGGCGGCGCTTGAAGATAGCTGAGCTCGGCTGCTGTTTCTGGCAGTATCAACTTTAGCGTCCAGAGGTTTGGAGGAGGATGGAACCTCTGCTGACGCCTGAAGTGAAGCCATTGAAGGAGTGGCTGGCTGGCTAGGCAAGCCAGCAACGCTCACGTTGGTGCTTTGCTCTCGACTCCTCTCCGTATCGACGTTCGTCCGTGTCGGGAGGTTTGCGCTGGGCGGTGTTCGATCTACTTTCAGAATACGGAACCTGGTCTGACTGGTGTTGTAGGCGACGAGGTAGAAACGAGTCTTGGTCTCCCACAGGGTGAAGCGCTTGAGGTCGCCTATGCGTCCTGGCTCGGCAGCTTCGGCGCGAGCAGCGGCAGCGGAAGCAGCCGTGGGGCCCCATGTCGAACCGGGTGTCAAAGTTGGAGTCGGATTGATGAAGGATGAAGCAGCCGTGCTCAACCTCGGCGGAGGAAGCATATTGGGTCTGGCTGCGGAGAGCGAGATGGCTGGGTCTGGGATGGTGTTGGCGGTCTTGATGCTGGCCGACGTGGCAGCACGGGCCTCCTTCGTGGCTAGCTGATCCGCACGAGGCAACTCTGGAGCCTCTGCAGGTGCACTTGTCTCGGGCTGCCGAGAAACGCGATCTGACGATGCTGTCGCATCTTCTGGGGATCGGCTCGGAGGCAACGATGCATCGGTTGCGGTGTCTGGCCTGGCGTCCGTAGATGAAGTGGGGGCAGATGTATCCGCGGCCTCGCCCTTCCCGCGGAGCTCTCGTTCATCTTGCATGTGGCTGATAGCAAGACTCGTCTTGGAGTTGGCTGCGTCTGGACTGCTGATCACGACTGGCTTGCTTTGCGACCCCGTCTGAGGCTGAGATATGTTTTGCGCCTGGTCTGCTAACATTACGTCAATGTGGTGGGTGGTATGGCTTGCTTGAATTGAGACTACATAGACGCCGGGGCCGAGCCTTGACGATGCATTGCGGCCGCTACTGGACGACTGTCACTGCTGCCATGAGGAACGAGATCGTGATGTAGCGTCCGCTGAAGGTGACGATTGTCGCGGTGTTGCGGTCAAGTGCACCCTGATTCAGGGTCTCGTCTGTGCATGCCTGCTCAGACGGACGTGCACCAAAAAAGTCTCAGGTGGAGCTGCACACGCGATTCTGCTTTTTGAAACAACACTCCGCGCCGACAGCACTGGTCATACTGGCCACAAGACGATCATCGGACCGCACGATTGCAGGCAAACGAGCTCTATCATTGAAAGTTGACGGGGCTTTCGGGGTGTCACAAGTCAATCTCAGCACCGATGGCAATGTGATCCGAAGCGCAGACGCCTTTTCTCGGCACACCCGGTTGAAGCGTCTCTGTTCGGTGCGTTCGGAGCAGTCGCGTCACCGTCGGATATGGTTCCGAAGCTGACGACGCCTGGCCCTGCTTGCTGTGTCTAGGCAGCATGAAAATGTAGTCGAGTGTGAGAGAGAATAGACTCGAGAAGATGGTCCACATCGGCTCTGTGCTGTCGCCTGTGTGGCAATTGGGAGTATCCGGTGTCCATTCTTGATCGTCCCAGCGCTCCCGCCCTCGAGCGGACGAGCCGAAAAAGTTGCCTTCCTCGGAAGGATCGTGCACATTGCCGTAGTGCAAACCATACGCTGAGCCCAGATGCGACCTTGGCTCGCCTTTCCTTCCTGAAGCTTCAGAAGCAGGCTGGGCGGGCACAGATGCCGGACGGGGACGTCCAACATCGTGAAGCTGAAGCAGCTCATCGATCGATAGAAGAGCATCGTCTCGGGTTGCAGCACGACAATTCTTGAGCATGCGATCGTCGGGCTCGCCTCCCTCCTCTTCGTCCTCCTCCTCTGCCTCCTCCACGTCTGATTCTTCGTCAGCTGCATCTTCGCCGTTCGTCTGCTCCTGCTTCTGCAGATTGTCAAATACTTCGCTCATAGCAGGCACGTTCTTGTTGGCAGGAGCCTCGCGTGCGGGCTCCGTCGTCCCAGGCGCAAAGCCATTCGACGTGCCGCCTCTTTCTCTTCTCTCGTCGATGCTCTTGTGCACCACGCTCGAGCATGCAACTTCATCGTGGCAATGCTGCGTCAACTCGCGACCAGTCAAGAGGTGATACGTGGCAGAGTGAGGCTGATCGTTGAAGTCGCCCGCCAAGATGCAAGGTGCGCTCTGCCACTCCTCACCCAGCTCGTTTCGGAATTCTTGAAGCTTTCGCACCAAGATCCCAGACTGGCGTGCTCGTTCGTACGCATGCATCGGATGCCAGAACAGATGTGTCGTCGCTACGATCAAGCCCGGACTGGAGGTGGCGGTCGCAGAGGCGCGAAGGGCGACGATCAGACCAACATTGCGCGTCACCCTCGAACACGCTGTCCTAATTGGCTCGCCAGCGGCCGCCACGCTCTCTGCGTCGAGATCGAGGGTGAGTCGACGATGGGCACTCTCGCCAAATAGGTCTCGTCGCCAAGCTACGAGCAGACCGTGCTGCTTTTGTCGGTAGCCCTTCTCGTACACGTAGCTGAAGCCGTCCTTCGTCATTGTCTCTCCATGCACGTCCATGCGATCAACTTCCTGAAAGCAGCCTACGTCCCAACCGTGGCCAGTGCGACTCGAGAGCTCGGCGGTAAGCCCTATGGATCGATCCTTAAATTTGAGGCAGTCAGAGCCGGGGAACAACGTCCTTCGTACCAGGCCCTGCGCCAAGATGTTCCAGCTAACGATGCGCACCTTCTGTCTGGTCGATTTGTTGTCCGACTGGGAGTCAGTGCTGCCGGCAACAGAAGCCCAGTCACGCGGTACGAAGAGAGCATTTCCGTGCTCGTCGAGGTGGCCGTTTGGGATCTTGCCGTTGGCAGCGATGGCCGCCGCAAGCTCGGCTTCTTTCGCCGCTTTTTCGGCAGCTTCCTTCTCCTTCTTGGCGGCACGTTCGCGCCTCTTTGCCTCGATCTCTTCGGGAGATGGTCGGTTGTTCTGTTTGGTTTTCTTGGCTGGCGCAGAGCCAGCCGTGGCGTTGCCCGCGGCTGTGGACTCTGTCATTGTACAAAGAGCTGCTATGATGTTTCTATTCGTCGTTCCCTTGCGGTTCAAAGAAGTTGTCCTGATGAGTGCCGTGTTGCATATGGTTCGAGCGATCATACATGGGCTTTTGAGACGATGGTAGGAGGGAGAACATGCACTCAGTTCTTCTTGCCAGGAACGTCGCCCACGCCTATAAACTCAGCTCCAAGATTGCCAAACAACATCCCGCGGATCTCGACTTGTAGAATTTCGCCGATGAATTTCCCGGTCGGCCCATGCAAGCCACACTCGATGCAATCGTCTCTTCCACTCTTCACGCGACACCACAAACATCGGCCCTTCGCCACTGTGTTCGCGCAGACGGGAAGGACGATGATCGGGACACTCGTCGCACACGGACCTGAGCGCCTTTCTCACAGAGGGATAGTGCTGCCTATTTGGTCACCAGAAGTAGTTGGTGCTGTCCATAAAGATACATGATTCTCAGGTCTCGGTCGGCTTCTTGATGCCCATTTCGTCTGCCGAAGGTTTTGGGAATGGCACATGCTCCTGCAGGTCGTCGACACCCTTGCTTGGCTTATGCGCGTCTCCGTCCGGCGCTACAAAGGTGCCAGCTTCAGGCAGCTTCGGGTCGTCAGGACTGGATGCACTTGTCTCGCTTGGCTTCTTGATGCCCATCTCTTTGGCTGTCGGCGTCGGGAACGGCACGTGCTCCTGCAGGCCGTCGACGCCATCGCTGGAACTGTGCGCGCCGCCATCCTGCGCCACAAAGGTTCCCGCTTCGGGCAGCCTTGGATCGTCTGGCCTCAGTCTGTCAGCTAGGCCTGATGTGGGCGATTTACTTTTCGCCGGAGCCTTGTCTCTCTTGCCATCTCTCCTGCGTTCTTTCTGCCACGTGCCCGAAGCTCTCTGCGCAACACCGCGGGTCTTTTCTGAGCCCACATCGACCGGCACGTTATCTTCGACCTTGCCGTCGCGAGCTGGAGGCATGGCCGAGATAGCGAATTGGGTGCTCGCGCTGTTGACCTCTGTAACCGACGCGTTCCTCACTGCTGCAAACAGCGAAAAGATGAGGAACATGACTTGGTGATTTTGTCTTCGGAAGCCGTGCGCCACGACATATGTTCGAAGCTTTTGCAGGGCCCGGTGTCGCTCCTCTTCGGACGCTTGACCGGATCGGTATTCGTTCAAGAGGTTCATGATCACGTCGATGTTCTGCTTGGCTGGGAACGGAGGTTCCAGACCGATATGTGTAGGCAGTCCGATGGCAACTGACACTGAGCGCGAGTCGAGGAGTACGATGGGATCGACGCCTTTTGCTTTGCCGTGCAGCAAGTGGCCGAGTTCGCGGTGGAACCTCTTCAAGTGGTGCTTGGTCGGGAAGTGGAAGGTGTTGTATAGATACTCGCCGACCTCGGAAGCCGACAGCGCATCTTCGTCGGCGCTGATGTGTCTTTGGCGACGAGGAAGGGTAAAGCCGGGCTCGGCGGGTCTCCACTTTTTCCGGCTGCTGATGACGATGGGCAGGCGAGCGATATCTTCATCAGAGAGCTTGGCGATCAGACTCTGCTGGGATGGTTCCAACCCTTCTTCGCGCATGTAATCGAGGCGCAAGAATGGAGAGGCATTGGGGTCTTCGTCGTCTCGGCTCTCGGGCAAAAAGGTCGAAGACTCCGCCGATCTCCGGGGGATGGTGCGTGATGCATAGCTGCGACCAAGCTGCGACGGCGAAACAGTGCAAGGCGTCGCCGACCGGGCTGTGACCGTCGCAAGACGGGTAGAGCGCGATACCGGCGCGAGAAGACGTGTGCTGGTGCGTGCGAACATGGCAGCAAGAGAATGGTGGATGCTGTCAAAGTCAGGAGTAGTTCATGGAGGCAGGTAAGACACCTGGCACAGCTTGATCTTCCCAGCGCGATGCTGAAGAAAGCAAAAAGAGCGAGCGTCGAAAAGGTGGAGGAGAGACAGGGTTCTTTCCGGCCGGAAGCCAGCGCAAACGAGGACGTGCGTTGGTCGCGTGGGAACAACTTTTTTTTCTTTCTCAGTTCTTCTCAACTCAACTCAGCCTCAGGAATACTCGCAAACGCTCGTCCTTCCCTTTCTCCCTCTCTCCAACTCATAAACGCGATACAACTCAAATGGGTGTAATATAGCTTCTCTCTGGAAGTGGCTCCTCCAAGCTCCTTCCTCTGCGCTGCCATGGTGCATCAAGTCGCACTTTCCTGAAGCTGCGGCGACCACGGGACCAACTCGTTTCAACAACCTGTCGATCCCATTACCATCCATCATACCCTTCAACACTTCCGGAGAGACGTGCAAAGGACCGCTTTTTTCTCTCGAAAACCATTTTGCAGCCTTCTCTTTGCCATCTCGTGTGGCAAACGACATGCTGTAGGGAAAGTCCCCGGACACATCTACAAACTGGAAGAAGACCGAGGCGGGTGCATTGCTAGACGTTCTTTTCGCAAACCTTTTTTCCTTCGAGACGTGGTAACGTACGGAATGTTGGCGATCCTCATCGTGGACGTTTTAGGTGGTCGTTGTGGAGCTTGGAGAGCAAGGAGGTGATAGAAGCGATGGAACCGGGGTCGGAGAAGATATACAGCATGATCAGAGACCATACATGAGGAAAGCGACCGTCGCCGTAATGGTGCGTTTTTCGAAAAATGGCCATCTTGCTCTTCTTCTTCGATCTCGACTCTGCGTTTCCATCAGCTGCTGCTCGACCGGCTTCCAGTGACCGCTGTCTGACGGCGTCTACATCAGATGGGGGTGGCTCTTTTCGGAGATCGTCTCGTGTTTCAGGAACTGGGTCGGCAAGAGAGCCGTCGGCATGTTTTAATCAGTCTCGCAGTCAGGCTTCGTTGTTCGCAGCTTGTTTGCGGGTTTGAATTTGCGCAGCAAGGGTACGGATCTGTTCGTGTGAGGATGTTGTTGCAGGACCGGATCACGGGGGTTTGTCTGCCGGGTTGGAGGAGGCTTGCGTTGGATTGGTGGGGGGTCCTGACCGGTGACGATGTTTCAGTGAGAGGCAGAGTGGGGAGATGGGAGGAGAGTCATGCGAAGACATGAGCGGCTCGCCTTACACCAAACCATCTCCATCCCTTCCCTCTTCACTACGATTCTCGCAAACCGAAACGATCCCCTCTCCATCCTCGCAAACCGTTACCCACTCCTTCCCCTCGCTCACATACATCTCGACCGGCTTCGGTTTCCATCATCTTCTCCCCAACACAATCTGGTTCTTCTGCGCGTCTCCATGCTTTTTTAAGCACCTGCAGACGAAACTCGCGGCAACACATCCCATCGCTTCGTGGTTCTCTGCACCAGATCGATGATGCTTCTGACTCCAACCTCTATAGGGGTTTTGGAGAAGGATTGGATCTTGTTAGTCATTTTTCTATTGCTGATAGTTATGCGGTCGCCCTTTTCGACGGAAAGGGTAACTCAACGGGGCTTACTCTTGCATCGTCTCTCTCCTGTTATTTGGGGAATGGACTTTTAGCCGTTGTGGAACGGTATAGTACGAGGCTTCAACAGCCTTCTTCTTTTCTTGATGTTTGCTTTTTTGTATGGATAGATTTGGGATCATATTGCGTTGCTCAATCGTTGTTGGTCATATTGTTCACACACGAGTCGTCTCTTAAGTCACTTTGCGTAAGAGATCCATCCTCGCTGAATTGCATCTTATCCACTACGACTTAACTCGGTCTTGGTGTAGGAGGCCTGACTGGGCTTCCACCGGCATTTCCCGTCGCTGCCGCCGCCCCGTTCTGTCCTGCACCCGCCGCACCCGCCTGCTGCTGACTCTTCTGATTTTGAGCGGCCAACGCCTGGATCGCCTGGTTCAAGACCTGCTGTGGCGGTCTTCCCGCGGCCCCGGCCCCCGCTGCCGCTGCCGCAGCTGGGGGTCTCACCCCACTGGCACCCGCCGCCTGGTTGGTGGAACCCTGTTGCTGAGCCTGCTTGTACAGCTGGATCGCCAACCCGTTGATCTGCTCGGGCGACAAATTGCTCGTTGCCAAACTGATCGCCAGCTGCTGCTGAAGAGCTTGAACCGTCGCTGGCATTCCACCAGGCTGAGGCGAAGGCGACGGTCTTCCCTGTGCCCCCTGTTTCCCACCACTAGCAGGTCGCGGTGTACCACCCGGTCTCGCTGCAAACTGTTGCGCTTGTGCAGCATTGGGAGCCCTCATCTGCGCCTGCGCCTGAACCTGCGCAGCCTGCCTCTGCTGCTGCTGATACATCTGCAGTGCCGCCGCCGCCTGCTGCTGCTGCTGCTGCTGCTGCTGCTGGGAATTCTGCATCGGTCGACCCTGCTGCTGCTGTTGCTGCTGCTGCATCAGCTGAAACTGGTTCATCGGAATCTGTCCCCCCTGCTGCGCAGCCGCAACCGCTGCCATCTGGTTCCGAAGCTGCTGCTGCTGCGCCGCCGCTGCAGTAGCCGCTGCCAGTTGCGCGTGGTACTGCTGCTGCTGTTGCGGCGTCAACGTCGCCAACTGCTGCTGCGTCAGCGGTCCCACCGCCGGCCGAACCTGAGGCAGGTTGGCTGCTTGGTTGAGCTGTTGTGTCTGCTGTCGTTGCTGCTGCTGTTGCTGTTGCTGTTGGATCTGCGCGTAGAGCGTTTGCATTTGAGCGGCTTGCGATGCTTGCAATTGCGATTGAAGTTGCGCCTGCACTTGTTGCTGCTGCTGTTGCGTGGGTTGTTGCTGCGACTGTTGCGCTTGCATTTGGGCTGCTGCTGGTTGTTGCGCTTGCTGCTGCGGTGTTTGCTGAACGCCCTGCTGGCTCGCTGCGCCTGCTACGTTGTTTTGCTGTGCTTGTGCAGTGGCTCCGGGAAGAGCAGCAGATGTGCTGCCGATCGGCAGAGTCAGATTCGCAGCTCCGGCGGCGGCAGCTGCCCCCGGCTTGCCAGCCTGTGCAGCCGGCGCAGCCGCTTGCCCTGGGGTGCTTGCGCCCGCTTGCTGCTGTGCCATTCGCTGAGCTTGCGCCTGCTGAGCCAATAGTCTCTGCTGCTGCTGCTGTTGCTGCTGGTAGGCCATCTGAGCTCGCTGCTGCTCGTAAAACTGTCGAAGGGCAGCCTGGTCACGCTCGTTCTTGAGCGCGCTCAGCGACTGCGGCGTGATGGCAGGTCCAGCTTTGATCTGAGCATGCGTCTCGTGCGTGTTGAGGTTCACCTTCTTGGTCTGCTGCGTCTGCTGTGCCTGCTTGCTAGCCTCGCGCCGCTTGGCAGACTTGCGCATCACCTCCATCAAGTTGCTTCGTCGCTGCTTCCTCTTGGAGCCATCGTACTTGGAGCCCATCTTCTTGCTGAGCTTGTCACGTTTACCGTTGGAAGCATCGCCGTCCTTGCCATCGCCCTTCTTGCCGTCCTTGTCTGCGTCGGCTGCCGGCGCAGGCATGGGAGGCGGTCCGGGAGGTGGCTTGCCTTCTGCAGCTGCCTGCTCGATGCGCTTGCATCGATCATAGCAGTCCCAAGGCTCTCGCGTGTCGGTTGCCGTATTCAGTCGAGTCGAGTTGAAGAGGTCAGCGACGAGTGCCCAGTTGTTGTGATACTGCTTCGCCAGCGTCATCAGATAATTGTCCTCGTCCGAAGTCCACATGAACAAGGCTGCCCGAGCGTCTGACTGGGTCGGCTCGGCAGGCGTCGTGGAGACGGGGCCACTAGCATCCTTAGCGGCTCGGTTGCTTTTGCGTGCAAAGAGCAAAGAGCCTGGCAAAGGCGGTAATCCCGCATCGGTGCCATCTGCGACTCCTCGCAGCGGATCCGACTGCTCAGCGGCTACAATCCAGTCGCTGTCTGGAAGCCATCGGCCATTAGCGCGGTTCTTGGAAGGCTCCAGCGTGCTGACGAGGAGCGGGCGCGAATCGAGAAGCTTGGTGACGTGTGTGAGACGTGGTGGCTGGTTCAGACTTCCCTCGTCCCAGCGCCTGTCGCTTTTGCTGTTAGAGTCGGGCAGAGAAACACCCCCGTACAGAGGCAGTTCCGGGAACATCTTGCTGAAAGACAGCGAGCCAGGCTCGAGCAGGTCCGCAGCATTGGAGAGATCGCCGACCTCAATGCCCAAGAGAGCGGCTGCAGCTTCTGGATCCAGTGATTCGAGAAGTGCAGCTGGCGACACAATCGTGGTGGTGACGCTAGTGCTGAAGATGGGGGCTCTTAGCGTAGCGAGTAGCTGCGGCGGCAATTCAGCGGTAAGTGTCGAGTCTGCATCTTGCGGCTCGCTCCGCAGGGCGTTGGCGAGCTTGCCGTCGTCGGCAGCGGTGCCTTCGGTGTGAGCTGGCAGTGCAGACGTCGACTGCTTCTCTATCGACACGGGAGCAGCGCTGAGAGCAGGCATAGGTTCTGGCTGAGGCAATGGTTCCCGGACAACTTGGACGACAGGTGGCTTTGCTGGCTCTCCCGAGACGAGCGCAGCCGTCGCCGCCTCCACATCGTCTGCATCTGCGTCCGCCTCGTCATCTTGTCTGTCTGCGTCCATCTCGAGGCGAGCGTCGGCTGCCTGATCTGTGGTCTCGAGAGCATTTTCAATAGCCTGACTGACGGCTTCGTCGGCTTCTTCCGCTCCGTCCATCGTGACATCGGCATCCCGAGCGGGCTGGACAGACTCGGCGTCCTTTATGGTAGCATCCGCGTTGCTCTCCACTTGTGTGCTGGACGTGGAATCAGGCATCTCGACATCGTCGACGGCCTCCTCCGTAGCGCGCTGCTCAACATTCTCCGAGACGGTCCTGCGACGGTAGGGCCTCTGCACCGACACACAGAAAGCGGCTCGTTCGGCGGCCGAACGGGCACGATGCCATGCAGCAACTTCGTGGGCGAGATGGAACGCCACGGTCATCTTCCACCGTCTTTCCTCCCTAAAGTCGGTCTGCAACCACTTCATCTCTTCCAGCAGATGATCCCAATGCGACTTCCTGACGACAGGGCCCTTCTGCTTCTTGGGCTGACGGAAACTCCATTCGCCCTGCGCTTTGAGCTTTTCGATTCTTGCCATAGCGCGAACGAAGCGCTGCTCGTTGAAGGCCACCTTCCAGTCGCTCGTCATCAGACACTTGTCCGCCTTGCCAACCATTCCTGCGCCCGGCGATGCTCGAGCGCGAACATACCATCGGTAGAGATCTGTCTGACCGGAACCTGCGGGTCCGATCTTGGCAGCGGCGATGCTGGAGTACGAGTTGGCGTTGGAGTGGCTCAGAGAGCTCGCTAGCTTTCTGCCGCTGCGGTGATGGATAGCGCCGCCCGATACACCGGCGCCGGTGATACGTCGGGTCGGGTCGGGAGGCAGAGGTCGCAAGGATGCAGCGTACGTGACAGAGAGTGGATTCGGGGCTAAAACCTGCAAGGTCGGGTGGAGTGGAGGCGCTACGATGTTTTCGGGAACGGTCGGTACGACCATGGGCGAAGGTGGTACTCGCAGACTCGTTGACTGGGACGAAGCATTGCGTGCGAGACCAGGCACCGGTGAAACCGCTCTCTCGAGCGCGCTGGACGATTTCGATGGGGATGCGTCGCGAGTGTCGGTGGACTCGACTTTGATTGTAGGTGTAGATGTCTGAACAGCTGGAATGGCAGCTTGTACATCCAAATTCTGAGTGTTCGCATCGACCGAGCCTGTTGCGGAGGAGTCAATGCCGGAAAGGATGGGTGGGATCGGCGTGGATGATTCGATGACAAAGCTTGGCACCTGACCAGGCTGAAGCGGAGCTACGCGCACGCCTTGGGTCTCTGCAGCAGTGATGGTGAGCGGCTTAATCTTGGCGACGCCTTCAGCAATCGCGCGCGCTTGAACTGCAGCAGCAGCCCGGGCAACCGCCTGACTACGGTGCAGATTGCTCTGCTCCACTTCTCTCCTGAGGTCGCGATCGCGTTGCACCTCGCCGGCTGGTGTTGCGCTCGTAGGCGTTGGAGGAGGAGCGACTTCTATTGGACCGGTCTTGAGCTCTTGCGAAACACGCTGACGGATCAATTTGGGTTGTTCCAAAACATGATCCTTGATGGACTTCTTCATGTCGAGCGCCAGGTGATGTTGGTCGAGAAAGGATTTGACATGCTCACGTGCGTCGTCTTCTGACACCTGCAGAGTCTGGCCGAGCTTCCATGGACTCCCCGCGATCTCCTCCTTGTCGAATGTCTCTGACATGAAGAGCAGCTCGCGCAGACTTTCACGATGCGTTCTTTCCATATCTTTCAGCTGCTGTTGCCGTTGCTCAAGGAAAGCGGACCGTAGGTCGTCCAGAGTGACCATGCTAGTAGACGCCAGCGCATTCCACTCGTTCGGATTGAGCAGAGTAGCAGACAGGGCGACGGTGGCTGCGGCTGCGATGGATGCTGGATGATTTGCCGTTACATGCTGCGGCGGCGGTTGCTGCTGTGATGGAATTGACTGCGGTGCGACGGATGGAAGAAGTTTTTGTGATGTTGTTGATGGCGCCTGTTCTGGAGTTGGAAGTGCTGCAGACTGCGTGAGTGATGTTGCTGTGGCCGCTGATGTGGCTGGCGCCGGTAGCGCCAGCGACGGCACCGGATCTGTGCTCATCGTGAAGCTGCTCGTGTAGCTGACAGAGCGCCCGCGCTGAAGAGCACAGCCTGTAGGCTTCCGGTCGAATAGAACTGTAACCGAGGCACGCTACGAGTGTGTCGTGTGTTCGTGCTGGCTGCAGCCGATGCGCCGATGACGAGTGCCGAGATGAAATTTGAGATGATGGTGGAAGGGACTTGGAACGACGAAGAGACTCGATTTTCCTATTGGGAAATACAGGCCAGAAGGATTTGTCGCCCGAAAGAAATTGGGCAGGGTGTCGGATCGCGTCTCTATCGCCGTTGAGCAGAGGCGCGACTCGCGCCTGAAGTTTGTCGAGTTGAGTTCTTCGCCCAACATCTTACTTCCTACAGTTTTAGCTGCGGAGCGCTTTACGGCTGCGGGATAGCACCGACAACACTCTGTGAATGTGGTTAGCACGAGAGCCCCTGTCATTCTCAGATCGTGAAATGGAGACATAGTACAAGACAAATTGCTTCGCGGGCTGAAAGCTGGTCTTCATACAGTGCAGATATGGATCGGAGGAAAATTCATTTATGCTTGTGCGAATCTATTTCAGAATCGATGTCTGGTGAGCCACCCTTGCTCTTACCTTCCTGCTCGACTCATGGTAGTGCCGGTCTCGTCAACATAACCTTCTCGAACCCAGAATCGTCCGCGGCGCCTGCGTCGCTGGCATCCGTGCGGAATTGGCGATGGTAGCCCTGATCGTGCGACGTGCCTGGCCGAGAAGACACTGCGCCATTCCCCTCACCAGCTGGAGTCGACGTCCATGAGGTGTGCTCGTTGCGGGCCGACGCGTTGCCCACGTCATGCGATGCGGGATACGCTGCAGCGTGACGACCAAATGCTTGCTGATCGAGCTGGAGGCTGTCGTGTGAAGCTTCTGCGTGCGACGGCGGCTGAGCATAATAAGACTGCTGTGCTTCCACTGCACCCGAGGCTCGACCGTAAGAGTCGAAAGCGGCAGCGTCGCTTGCCGACACCTGCTGCTGCGTCTGCTGCTGCTGTTGAGGTCTCGGATAAGGACTTGCTGGGTCCGAGTGGACATGGAGAGCTTCCAGTCCGCCCGTCTTGACCACGCCTGCCGCGTCCAAGTCGTTGGCGTACCCTGCTTCACCGGCCCGCGAGATGGGACGCGAAGAGTAGTGCACCGTGTCTTCGAGCCGAGTTGCAGTGGGCGGATGCACGCCTTCAACATACTCCTCGTTTCGCCCCGTCGACGCCGCGTACGAGTGACGGCTGTCGTGAGACGAGCCGGTGTTTGGAGGCGAGCCAGCAAAACGTGGGTAGAACGAGGATGACATCACATTCGATTGGCTATGGATCGGCAGTGCCGTCAACCCTTGACTCGTGGCAGGCGGTTGCTGCAGATTGTGCACGAATGACGTCGAATGGTTCGGCTGGTTGGAGTCCCAGCTTCCACGCGCGAGCCGCGAAGAGAAGTGGAAGGGATCCTGTTGCTCTTGCTTGCTCCAAGATACGTCCGATCGCGTCGGCTGACTCGGAACCATTGGTATCATCGAGCCCGGCTGAAACGAGTGCTGAAAGCTGCCGTGCGAGTCGACCGTCTCCATCGACGGATGCTGCTGGTCCATATGCGATGCATGTGAACCTCCGTTGGCATTGCTTGCTTGTCCGACGTGTGTCATCCCAAGAAAGCCATCGTCTTGCTGGCGCGGTACTCCAAACGCCCCATGGTCTGAAGGATAAGGGGCGCCAGGCTCCATGTCGCTGTAGCTTCGCGTTCCGGCGAAGAAAGCTCGCCGACCAGAGGGTGAAACCGGTCCATTGTCCATGGTCGGAGCGTTCGAGTAGAGGGAATGTGCCGCCATGCCGTGTCCGAACGTCATCGGTGCTGGTGGGTGATAAGGCTCGAATCGCGAATTCGCACGCCTGCGCGGAGCATCCGAAGATCGGCGGCTCCTGTAAGGGATCGACGTCGACGACGTAGGAAGCGGAGTTGCCGATGCCGGTAGCATGCCGTCGCCACCGATCTGATGCGGATATCGATGTGTGTGCATGTCGCCGTGGGGAGCATCAGAGGGCAGACCGGGCGAGTAGATCGACAGCGACCGGCTGGCTGGTCTCCCCATCCCGTCTTGTCGCGCCTCTGAGGATGAGAAGCTCTCGTTGCCACTGCTGACATGACCGGATGCACGCATAGCGTTGTCTGTAGACTCGCCAACGTATCTCGGCACGCCATCAGGGCCGATCTCGACAATGGGTGGGTATCGGAAATTGGCTTTGTTGAGAAAGATGGGCGAAATGCTGAGCGAGGAGAGCTCGGGCAGAGTCGATGGTATGGTGAGTCGACTGTTGTGAACGTCGTCGATCTTGTAGTACGAGATGAGGTGCTGCGTCGAACCTTCGACTTGGATCGAGATGGTCTTCTTGCAGAGTCCATCGCGCACGAACGGGTAGCTGCTTGTCAAGCTTCCAACGATTGTCCGATCCAGCTCGACCTCGCGCTTGGCTGTGTTCGAAGGACCGGCGTGATCATCCATCACACCTACGAGCCCGGCTGCTTGCGGATGCGCCTGTGGGTGCGCTGAATGCTGTGCGTGAGAAGGGTGGCCAAAAAAGCTGTCGTGATCGGCGTACACTGCGTTCGAAGAGGATGTCACGTGATCCAACCCCTGGTAAGCGGTGTGCTCCTGCTTGTAGTGTATCATCTGCGCGTCTGCATCCATCGCGTTCGGCATGAGCGTCAGAGGCACATTCCGAACCGAGGCGTGAAAGTTGACGTTGCTACCGCCGCTGCTGGGCATTGCTGGCATGCCATATGCAGTGCTGTTGGTGACGAACGCCGGTTGGTCGGGAGATGGCTTCGGATCCTTCTTTTCGACCTCCCGGTATACCAAGAAGTTGTTCAGGATGCGGCTTGGACTCCATATCATACCGTCGGTCCATCTCTTGATGCTCGACTCGACCTCGTCGAAGACGAAGATGGTACCGCTTGCGATCTGCTTTCGCTCATCATCACGCAGACGCCGAGTGATTTTAGGAAGCATGCCGCGTCGGACGCCTTCGAAGATGAGCAACGCATCGCGCGTCGAGTGCCTATTTCGTAGAGAGAAAGGTCAAGTTGGACAACCACTTATAGTCAGCAATCATGGCCTAGACGAAAAGAGCAGTGAGAAGGGCCGATCGGTAGGCGAACGGATTAGAAACCTACACATAGCCTTGGAAAGTAGCCCCTTGATGTGAGCTCATCTTCATATGCCTCGACTGCTGAGATCAATAGTGGACAGAGGTTGGCAGAGGTTGGCAGTAGAAACTCGTATGTGAGCGGACGAAGAAGGGAGATGCGACGGTGATAAAAGTGCTGCCTAGATATGCACGCTCAGTCGTCAGAGAGCGGGTCGAGAAGAGAGGGAGGGGCAAGCCGTCGGCCGGTGGTATCGAAGGCAACCGCGGGACAGAGCGACGAATATCGTTGCCGACGTGGCGACAGCCTTCTAGAAGGCGCAGCTGCAAGCTTGATGCCTTTGCCTTTTGGAGCCTGGACACTCGCGAGGTGCGCCGGGCAACTGAGGCTGAAGATGACGAAAGCAAGAGATTGTAACGAATGTTTCGGTCTTCTCACAGCGTCGGTCAACCGATGTATCGAGGTCGAGCGAGAACCTTGTGTGCGATAGACTCGCTGATGTAGTAGCCTTGGCAGGGGACTGACGGAAGCTTTGTCGCCGGAATTCGCGCGGGAGTCCTCTTGAAGGGCAAGGTGGCGAAGAAGAAGGCCAAGTTGGTGGGGCCGTGTGGTAGCAGAGATTTGCGGCAACAAGTGGCAGCAGCTCGGGCTGATTGGAGCTGAAGAAATGTTGTACCACTCGCTTGGTGCTACGTCGAGCAGACCCGACGAAAACTTGCCACTCTGACGCCAAATACGATCGTGGTGACAAACTGCCCTATGGAGGGTAAACGAGCGCGCAAGCTGTTGCACTGAGGACGACTGAAGCTTTTGATGCGAGCTTGTTCAGAGGGCAACGTGCGTGGTATTGAGTCGCGTACGGGTCGAACGAGAGCTTTTGATGATAAAGTTAAGCTCGACTTCCTCGACAAGGTGCTAAGCTCGTCGAGCAAGCAATCGAGAGCTCGAGATATAATCAGTGCACGTACCCAGGCTGAGGATGCAACGTTGCCACTGCAGCAGAAACGCCGAGGTATCAATTCAAAGACGACTTCGGCGAGCTCGGCGTCAAGTGCGTCACGTTTTCCCACGATGCGCTGGCCGGCTCTCGGAGCAGGGCAGAACGAGACCGAGGTCGAGGCTGCAGCAGAGCCGACGTCTGAGATTGGCGGAGATGAGCGTACGCGTCGATGCGCGATGAACATCGGTTCACCCCGCCGGTGCGTAAGGCAGCGGTGCAAGACAGTGTGGCGCAAAGCAGAACAGCAGCACGATGCGCCTCTCGTGTTCTTGAAGGAGCGTGCGACCACGATAGCTGATGTTGGACGCCTGATATGAAAGAAAAGATTAGTCGACCTCGAGCTGAAGCCGATCAAGAATTATGCTTGGCTTGCGAGAATCTTTGCGAGACGTGCTGCCTGTGCTGATGGCAGATCCCTGCCGAACGCAGTCGCACTTTCGAACTCGCACTGGGTGGCACAGCCTGTGCCGAAGCTTCGGATCTGGTTGTGACCGCCTGTGGTAATTGAGGGCGGGAGCTCTTCAGCCCGTCGAGGGATACTTCCGGATGTTGGCTAGCGCTGCCTATTTGCTAGGCGTCGCCAGATCGATGTGTGGCACTGCGGAATTATGGCGGAGGATGAGTTACGTGCAGGGTTGCGCAAAGACCGGCTGCTGTGACAAGGTTTGAGACGCAAGGTTCTGGTGGGACAATCGCGACTTGCGTACGAACAAAAGCGAATGTGGTCCGGTGCGTCGATTGTGGCAAACAGATGGGGAGCAGCGAGGAATGCTCCGAGCCCAGACGTTGCTGATGGGGAAAAGGTTAAGGTTGGCGACGCGATGGAACCTTGTGCGATGAAATGAGCTTGACCCCGTGGGTAAGAAGGAAACAGGAGCCGACGGGTTGGAATGTCTGGGGCCAGCGGCTCAGGACGAGGCGATCAGACGGATGTCGCGTTGATGCAATCGATGCAAATGAAATGAAGGAAGAGCCTAGAGTGAGATTTGCATTGGTCTGCAGCTCTACCTGCAGTGATGAGCCCAAGATGATCGCGTGCAACGAGACTCAGCCCACTTCTTGAGTCACAAGAACGGAACTGTCGGGCTGATGACCTTTTGAGAGCCAATCGACCAAGTTTGATCCGAAAACGCTCAAGCAAGACGAGCAAGGCGCACGAGACGAATGCAACTTCTTCTGCGGCTCTGGGAAAGGTGCCGGCTTTGATTTGATCTAGGTCCGTATTGACTTGGTATCACTTGCAAGCCGCTGTCATTGATCTGCTAGCGAGGCGGAAAACGAGTTGATAGGAGGGAACGAAGGAGTTTGTCAGCATGGTTCAGGTTCAATCGACGCTTCGGAGCCGAGCACTTTGCCCGAATGCGTTATCTTGCGGCAAGCGGAATGCACCATGTCTGGGAACGACACGCGTAATGCGTAATGTATTGGTGCCACTTGAACCAGCAGACACTCGGATGATGCCATGCACACTTTCTCGTAGCGCAACGGGGTCAGTCGAGGCGCCAGAGAAGAGATATCTGATGGATCTGTTGAAGCTGACGGTGTGGTGTCGAGGTCGCAGCGGTACTGCTTCAATGGCGGCAAGACCGACAAGCTCACTTACGTTGACTGAGAGATCGACTTTTGAAAAATGGCTGCGTGAATCGTCGGAGCGGCGCTGTCACTGTTGCCAGTCCGTCAACCGGTAGCCAAGGAAGGTGCGAGCGAGATGTGGACGAAAGTCGCAAATTGCAAAGAACAGGATGCGGACGGTGAGGTATGAGGATGACGAGGCTAATGGCTGATGCTGGATGGATAGGTTGGTCGGCCAGGTGCAGAGAGGCTGGGGGGAGATGTGGAAGAGCTCGATGGTGTAAAGTTCGTGAGTAACGCATCGGGATCGTTCAAAGGCGAGGCATTGCTTGGTATGGATGAGTTTCGAGTGTTTGTGGGTCTTTAGGGACCGGCAACGTCACGTTCCAGGCTCGATGCGAGCGTGCAGATGAGGGCGTCTCGAGGATGTTAGCGGCGCATGGATTTGCGATGTCTCGATTTGGCTTGAGAGAAGCTGTACCAGGGGCGTCGAAGCAGTGGAGGCGGATGGTGTTAATGAACCGTGAGAGGGGTGGTGGGAGGGACCTGGTTGAGAGATGAGGTGGCGCCGCCGTTTCCGTTCGTGGTGGTGGATTCGAACGTAGGCCTGCGATGGAAAGCAAAACGAGTGTGTAGATGCGATTGACGGAGAGAGCGTAAGGGGCGATGCAGGACGAGAGGTGAAAGATGCGCTACAGAGACAAATCAATCCTGTCACCTTGCCACGGCAAAGATGTACGGGTCGGGGATCGCTAGACACCTCGAACCCAGAAGCCGGACTATTGAAAGAGCAAGGGCGAGAACAGCGTAGCGACCATGGCGGAGGAGCAATGACCCAGAAGACAGGATCAAGCGGGTGCACCCAGGCGGGAGTCGGCAATGGCGCTTGTGAAACGTACACAGGAGTCGCTTCAGAGTACTACCATTGACAAAGGTGGACGGCTGAACGCGGACGACTGCATCGAGTGTCGAGAGCATGAGCGAAGCTGCATAAGGGTCGGGATCTCAAAAGTGGACGGAGATACAAAGCAGCAGAAGCAGCGGCTTGGCTGTCAAAATGGCAGAAGAAGGCATCGCGTAATTAAGTCGGGTCTGTGCAAGTATGCCGAGCGGCGATCGCGCCGAGAAAGTGGGAACCAGCGTGAACAACCAGAGGCATCCATTCGTCTCAGACAGGGTCCTCTCGTGAACCGTAGTGTAGAGGTGTACGGCGCGCCCACACGAGGTCGGAGGTTCAAAAAGCCACAGCGATGTGTGCAGTTCCGCATAGATCAGACGGTGCCAAACGGCACAAGATGAGACGCCAAGCAAGAGGACATCCTTCGACCACAACAAATGCGCGCCTCGAGATGCGATGAGCCTAGGAGCAATCTACAGCGCCAGTCGGCCACCTTAGGTGACGCTTGCATCGGTGACTTGTTGGTTTGTGATTGGTGTTTCGGATGACATTCGCTTGCCATGTGCGCATGGTCCATCCATATAGTTAATGGCTGTTGAATATTGCGAGCGCCTAGTCCACCCAAGCCTCTCGGTTCGGATGGACTGCCCAGTACGCTGTTGTTCCTGTCGTGGTGCATCGCGGCACACTGCGCAAGTGCTTCGAGACCGGAGCCGACTGGATCCGCCGTCGGTGACAGGATATGGATGTGCTCTGGCAAAAGGGCCATCCATGTCTGAAACAAAGACGCGGTAACAATCATCGTGCTGCACAGACAAGCGCTGTGGTTGACTTCTACGATGCAGATCCAGTGGCGAGCCGAAGCCTGCTGTTTGCTTTTCTCCTGCTCTCCTGCTCTGCTCCCAGAATGGCAATTTCTTCTTCGACCGTCCAAAAAAGCCACGGATTTTCCTTTTTGAGACCGTGTTTTTGCTCTCTCGCTTGGACACTGGAGTCGTTGGTCGCAAAATGCTTCTGTGCCACTCTTTCATCTCGTAGGACAAGAAGTCAGCCATTCGCCCACGAAGTCGATATTCAGTATGATATGACCTGAGGTGACAGGCACGGGTGCAGCGCGATGGCAGTGCGGCATTGCGCTTGCGCCTTCCAGCCATCTTGTCAAAAGAGGGCAAGAATGTGTTCACGTTCAGAAAGGGGAATGAAATAAATAAATTAAAAACGCTTGGGTGGATGGATTGCATGCATGAATGCAACCACAGAAGTCCGCCTTTGCACCGACCGACTCTTACAGATTTAGTTGCAGTAGTACGCACTCCTGCGCTTCTGCCAGGTGGCTTGCGCAGTGCAGTCGACGGATGATCAGCCCGTCAACATTGCACCGATCGGTCGCCCGTCGCCGCATTGAACGTGAATCGAGTGATCCTGCAGCGAGCCCCAAAGAAATGAGCGGAAGCGCGACTCCGCATGGATGCAGCGTCTTGATGTTGGGCCGAACCAAGGGCGTCACAAGCTCCAGCTAAGTTCATGCCATCTAGCCGCCAGAGGACCTCGGAACAGGGATCGGCAACTCCGATGACTGCACAACCAACGTCGCGACGGATGATCCTTAGCCTCCTTCACTTCGCTACCAACTCTCACGAGCCGAGCAGACCGAAGAAGCCGAACAGCACCAAAGGTACGGCTCTGTCTGTACCGCGTGTAGCACGCAGATCACGCTCTGGACTGTATAGCCGGCTGCAGATATCTGGGCCGCCGAGCCGCTCTGCACTTCTGCCGGCGCAGACCGCCGCTCTCGACTGATGCTGAAGTGAAGGGAGAGAGATCCCCAAGAAGACTTGCAGGAAGGCATACCGAGGCGTGTCATTCGACAACTTTGGCTTGTCTGATAGAGAATGTGTGATCGATTGGATAATGCCCGCAATCAGATTGCCTGGCCCTTGGCGCTCTTTGCTTTCTTGCCTCGCAGGGTAAGACATGGTCTCGCCGCAACACTTCGAGGCTTTGCTCCGTCTCACCCGAAGTTTTGCTGTTTTTCTCACGCTCTCCGAAATTTGAGTTTGCTTGCGACCTGAAAAGACGCAGCAGCTTGGAAGCATCACATCACGCTTGGCTGCCAGCCGTACCGTGCCTTTCGCGCAAGTTCCTGAGCTGCTCAGCTGCTCACACGGTACTGTTGCCCCGAACTGTGATCCGACGGATGCTTTCGAGGTCACCAACCTGCCTTTCTGGCGCTTTGTAGGCGCTGATCACGCACTCTCGCGCTCGAACCGCTAGCACGCTCCGTCGTGATTTATTTCCGTTCTTTTCCCAACGTTTCGCGACGACGACCGGCATCTCAGCCGACGATTGCCATCTGAGCTCCTCTGATCTGCCTCATCCTGAGCAACATGACAGACAGCAGCTTAACAATGCGGTCGCCGTCGACGCTGCTGATTCTAAAAAAAACTCTTCTCCGCAGGCACGCTGACACTTGTAGCGCCTTACCGCACCCCACCTGGTCGAAATGCACTATGGCGCTCGAGACTCTGCGTATATTGTGACGCTCTCAGGTCATCATCGCAGCCTTGCTGGAGAGTTGCACTTATGCGCCCGTACCCAAAGTCTCGCCGACCGTGTCAAGGTGACGAGCCCGGTCTCTGCATCGCTCAGACGCACGCGCCTCCCCTCACTTGGCTCCACAACGAGTGATTATGTCTCGACGTTCCCTCATGCTGAACTCTTGTAGACCGCTCCTGTGTCGCACCGGCGAACCTGCGACAACATCCAGGAACAGCATCGAACCGGAAAGCGAAGTGCTCGCACACGCCTGACGTGGTCGCGAGTAATTGTAACTTGGCTCCTCTGCATCGGAATCGATGCGGGTCTCGTAAGCATTCCTTGCGCAGCGGGGCAGGGCCACCGCATCGCGTCGCTGCCAAGAACCCCCCGTGCGGTAACCCATCCATCGCATTCAGTCGGACTCCGGCGCAGTATTGCCAGTTGGCGGCTCGGCTATCAGTTGGTCTCAGAGCGGACTGGCTTTTGTCCTGCCCAGCAAAGTTGCGTCTCGCTCTCGTAAGAAGAGAGGGGAGACCTATATGGATCTCGCTCACCTATACGTCGAGCTTGGTACGGTTCCAAGCGGTTCCACCGCTCGGCTACGAAGTCGGCCCCATTCCGCTGGTTCTTCTCAAGGCCGCCGCGCCTCGGCCTAGTCGGTCACCTTGATGAAGAACAATGCTTTCCAAGACCCTTTCTCTCGGGTCGTGATGATCTTCATCAGACCGCTTGTCACCGCGTTTACCGCGTTTTCCGGTCTTGTTCACAGGCATAGCTTGGCCCATCGAGCTTGCCCATCGAGCTCAATTGTGTACTCTGTTTCGAGTCGAAGAGCTATAACCGCCAAGGATCGCACTGCCTGTCGCCTCTGCACCGACCAAAGTAGCCGAGTTGGATCTTGTCCAGCTATCTTATTAATAACTTTGGCGCCCGGCGTCCTCACGGCACTCGACCCACTCGTGGCGGTTTGCTCCAGGCGCTTGCGATCCCGATCCCAGGTTGGATATCGAATAAATAGACCTCACCAGTGGCGCTCACAGTACGATGTCCTTCCTGCGCACACACAGCACTGAAAACAGTAGTCCTTCTAGGATGAGGACACAGTCTTGCCAGTCGACCCGGTGTCGGTCCTATGTCGCCTATGCTACCCGAGCGCCACGCTGCAACGACTTTCTCCGCGGGATGTCGTCCGCTCTAAGGCGCGTTCTGCGTTCTCTCTGCGCCACGCATGGAAGCCACCTGCGCTTGTCGCGCTCGCTTGAATTTGAGGATTTCCGCGGAATATACCTGCCGACTTTTTTTTTTGAGACGAGATTCAGCGCCATGTGCACCATAGTCCAGCCAGCCACATGTTGTCAGCCTCGGCGAATCGAGGTGCAGCAAGTTGCAATGGGAATCCCGGTATCAAGGCGGAGACACGAGCAGCGAATCCACGTGCCTCATCTCCGACGCCGACTCGGCTCTTCTTCTGGATGCGACAACGACGCTGCACAACATCTTTCTGTAAGGGGATCTTGATTGCTGTAGAATCGAGTAGAGTCGATGGTGGTTTCGGCATTGTCTCACGTGAAAACACCCCGACGGAAGAGGTTGGCAGGCGCGCATGGTCGAAGCGTGGCTTCGTCAGAGCTTGTTGGCTGTTCGGGGATGCAGCTTGTCCAAGTAAGCAAGCAACCGGTTGGCTTCCCGCTCGCCGGACACATAGGCACCGGCAGCCGATCCACGATCTGCAAAGGAAGAGTTCAAGGCATCGAGGCATTGTCAGTCTATCGGTCCCCTCCTTCGTCTGCGCTACGATCAGACGACCTTTAAACAACAACTTACGGTTGATCTCGGTGTGTTCACCAGCGAAGCCAAGACGGCCATTCCAAAGCGGTCGTGAAAGCGCCTCGAAGTCCAACGGCGAGGTGCCGCTTGCTGTGGATACGGGCGAGGTGGTCGCGCCGCCCGTGAAAGCTTGCTTGCCCCACCTGGAGTAGAAAATGTGCTTGGGCAGCTTGCCGCTTGCCTCATCGCTACCTCCGATTCGAGCAGTCAGATAGGCGTGAAGGGCGTTTCCGGCATCTAGACGCTCGAACGCCTCGAGCTGCTTGCCGGCCTCACCACCCACCATGACGAGCAACGAGTTAGACGCATTGTTGCCTGCTTTTGCCGAAGCGTCATCTGCCGGCGACAGCGACGAAACGATCAGCGTGGTGGACGAGTAGAGCTCCCATAGCTTCTTTTCAGCATCGCTTTTGATCGACGATGGCGCAGGCGCGGACGAGGGCAGAACGAGGAACGTGCCCGTCTTGCCGTTCCACCAGGGCTGCTCGTAGTGCAAGAGAACCTTGTTCAGGTTACCCACGGAAACACGCTTGATCGTCTCTAGCCTTCGCTCGGGCAGCGCAGGTTCAAATAGACCGGCCGCCGTCTTTTTAAGGATAGCGATGGGGATGGTGACAAGGGCAGTGCGTGCGGTGTACTCTTGACCCTGCTTGGTGGTGATCTTGACGTTGTTCGACTGGTCTTCGTCACGAACCGACTGTACTTCCTGGCTCGTGTGGATCGACGCTCCCAGCGAGGAGATTTCGTCGACGAGCTTGTTGATGATCGTGGTGAACCCGCCCTGGGGAGCAGCGTCCGTGCCGGCGAATCCGTTCTCGAAGCCGTGCCATTTGAGGCTGGCTTTTTCAAGCTCGATACCGAGAGGGATGTGGAGCATCCTCGCCAAGTCGCGAGCCGCCTTCTTCTCGCCTTCGGACTCGAGACCGGCAAAGAGGGGCGATTGGCTGCTGTAAAGGAAATCGGCGAGCGAAGTACTTGCGTCCGGCGGTGTCGCCGATTCGTCGTGCGCCGCAGCCTTTGCCGCCTCCTGGGCCTTTCCCAGGTTGCCTGTCAACTTTTGCGACAGACTCTGCGACAGAGGACCCTGCTCACCGACCACAACCGTCTCGCGTGGACTCGGAATAGTGACTGGAATACTGTACTTGTCAGTTAGCCCTTTCAGAGGGCTGCCTTCCATATATCCGTGCATCCAGGAGCAACCGAAATCGCACCAGTAATCCGCAGCACCAGGAGACGAGACCGTGCGGGAATTGTCGTTGACGTCCGTCTTGTCCGACCAGGTGTGCGTGAATGCTCGACCGCCGATTCGCTCCCTCGCCTCGAGGATAGCCACTTTGCGGCCGGCTTGCGAGAGTTTGAGGGCGGCTGAGAGACCGGACCATCCAGCACCGATGATGAGCACGTCGAGCATGTTGCTCGCTGCCGAAGTGGTGGTGGTTGCTGCTGCTTTCGCCATCGTTTCTTTCAGCAGTTGATGGGTTGGAATGTCGTGTTGAAACTGTGGTGGTGGGACGTTGGTGGAGGGAAACGTGGAAGGTGGGTTGGAGGAGAAGTGCGCGATGGTGTAATCAAGTTGCCGGTCTAGGAATTCGTCAGTGTGGGGGAAATTCGTACGCGGAGGTCGAAAAACAACGCTTCGCAGCCTGCGCATGGATCACCTCGATTGCGCGCTCCCACACAACGCTCCACCCCCACATCTTCTCACCTCGCGTCAGAAACTCGACCTTTCTTCCAACCATCAGGTCCCAATTCAAGAGCTTGTTCAGCACTCAGAACACAATCCGTCACCTTTCGGATCAGCAATTAGGACGTCGAATGGCTATCACATTCGCAGAGGACGCCGAAATTTGCTTTTGTAATCTCCATAGCTAAGAAATGAATCCAAGCGCCCGCAGTTGGTCCATCGTCATGGGTTTTGAGAAATCCATCTGTCCCGCGCTGCCATCACCTCCGGCACCTCCTGCTGCTCCTGCCTGCTGCTGAACCTGTACTTGTTGCTGCTGCTGCGGCTGTTGCTGCTGCTGTTGCTGCTGCTGATTCGCAACGCCGAAGGGGTTCAAATTGTCAAACATGACCGGTTGCTGTTGCTGCTGTTGTTGTTGCTGCTGCTGCTGAGGGGGAGCAGACGGTGCGAGTTGACCAAAGACGTTTTGCGACAGACCTTGGCCGAATGCTTGGAGCTGTTGCTGACCCACCTGCTGCTGCTGCTGCGGCTGCTGTGTGACGTTCTGACCGCCGATACCTAGCAGCTGTGCTAGAGCGGCGAGGTTCGGTTGCTGCTGCTGCGTCCCTGCTGAAAAGGCATCTTGTGGCTGGGCGACTCCACCGAACTGAGCGAAGTTGAAGTTGGCGAGGTTGTTCTGCGTCGGTGGAAGGAGCGAGCTGAGGTTCATACCGGCGCCCAAACCGGCACTTGCACCGAGGCCAGAGACTGGTACGTTGCCCGCTGCGTTCAGCGCTGCCAGGTTGAAGGGCATCGAAGAGCCTAATCCCATCCCTGTCGGTGGTTGTGGTGGTTGTGGTGGTGGAGCCTGTTGAGGTTGTTGGATCTGCTGTGTGGACTGTGGCTGTTGCTGTGGCTGAAGATGGTCGGGTTGCGACGCAGAGGTACTCCTCGCTCTCTGTTCCTGTTCGACCTTGCCATTCCCCGCGGTCCCTGTCGTTGCCGATGCGGTGGAACTCTGACCGCTCAACAACCTCGAGAACGGGATCGTATCCTTCAACACCACACCTATCAACTTTGCCTGTCCCCCTACTCCTCCTGCTTGCCCCTTCCTCTCAGCACTACTGGTCGGCTGAGTGGTTGCGAACAACACCAACCCCGCACCCGCATTGCTGCCATGTCGAATGAAGGCACAGCTCTTCTTCGCATCCAAGCTGCCCGCGAGACTCGAATACATCTGTCGATTCTTCTCCGCCGTTGCCGGTGTCAACACGGAAGAACCAGAGCCGTTGGCGTCCGCTTCTTGTGTGGAGAAGAGGATGTAAGGAGCGTTCTGGGATTGGGCGTAGACTTGGAGGTTGCGCGGGGAGAGTTGAGTGATGGCTGTGATTTGGAGTTTGTCCGGCCAGGGCATGAGGAGACGGTCGAGGAGCGGAGAGTTGGAAGTGGCCGAGACGAGCGTGGCTACGTCGCGTTTCTGTTTGGTGGTAGGGTCGGAGATGACGGACCAGGTGAGCGCGCCTCTCCAGAACGGTTTGGGTCGGGTGGGGCTGGGTGGCGGTTGTTGGGCAGCAGAGTTAGCGGCAGTAACGTTGATGCCGGTGCTGGATGCAGCATCGTTGGAAGAAGGTGGTGGTTTGACGACGTTGGTTGATCCCTGCAATGATATAGCGGGCGGCTGTTGGCCTGCAGTCACACTACCACTCCTCCCCGCCCTCGCTCCTCCTCCGGCTGCTGCTCCACCGCTCGGTCCACCCAGATTCACGCCCATCTCCCTTGCCTCCTTATCAATGTTGATCAAGCTTTGCAAACTGACATTGAAGTTCGGCGCTGTCTCCGCCCCACTCACGATCCTTCCCACCAGCATCTTGAGCGCGTGTTGTTGTGTCAACAATTGAGCTTTCAACTGCTCCAGGTACGCCTTATTCATGCCGGGAGCTTTCGCCGACAGGTTCTCACCGGAAGACTCGCTCTTGACGACGGCAGAGTAGGCAAGAGCCCAGTTCTTTACCATGGCTTCCTGCTGCGACCGCAAGAACATGACTTTTGTGCTGACGCTAGGGTCGAGTTTGAGTTGAACAGGTGGGGCTGTCGAGGTCGGTGGGGGCTGAGAGGTTGAGGAGTTGGCAAGAGGTGGTTGTGGTTGAGAGATGCTGCCTGACTTGGATCGCTTTACGGAGCCGGATGTTGCGTCGACTTCGTCCTCCCTGCCTCTCTTCGTCGATGTGACTGCTGCGTTCGTCGCTGTCGCACCCTTAGATACTGTGTTTGGTGTGAGATCACTCGAAACGACATTCGCATCCTGTTTGACCTTTTCTCGCACAGCTTCGGGCATCATCGCAGCGAGATCCTCGTTGACAAGCTTATTGGGCTCCGCGACGATCTTGTGCAGACCAAGGATCGCTGCTTGTGCTTCCCTTGATGGCTGTGCAGACGGTTCATCGGGAGTTGAGGGCTTGACCGCGCAGCTGGTGATCGACACACCCAGCCGCGCGAACTTGCCACCGATACCCGGAACAGCTGCACGATCGTTGGCCGCATCTGCGTTGAAGAATGGCGGCGAGGTGAGGTCGAATGTCACATCCGAAGAGTCAAGGCAGATATGCAGCAGGTGCCTCGCCAGCACAGGTGGCTTCTTGGGTCCTAGTGGATTGTGTACACCATTATCCCTGGGTTGAAGAAGTTCGAGTGCTGCAACAAAGGCTTCGAGTAGGTGTGCTGTAGGTTTGGCGTTGCTCCTCCCATCGATGGGAGAGAAAGTCGATGCTGGTGTATCAGTATCATGTGATAGCGAAGAAGGTTGTTCTGGGCCAAGCCATGCCTCTGGACTCTGTATGCTGGAGGCGATGAGTTTGGAGCCTGGCTGAAGCTTTGTTCTACTCAAAGTCCAAGCTGGACGAAGGAGAGACTTGTCGAAGGTTGGGCGATAGACAACGCAGCCGATGGTGAGACGTGAGCCAGAATAGGCGCTGTTGAGCTTCTTGGAGATAGCCTCTACGAGCGGTACGACTACGGTACGCCATTTGCGGCGAACAGTGGGGTGGTCGAAAAGGACAAGCACGAGCTGCGTTTCTGGCATTGCTTGAAGAGACGAGAGTGCAATGGAGGTTCCGCGCGGAGTTGTATTGGAGAACATGGCGAGGGGCGAAGGAGTGGTGATGGCCATGCCCGCTGCCGAGCTCCCGGCTGGCGTCGGTGTCGTCATGGCAGGATGAGATTAAACGCGATGGTGCTGCCCAGCTGGTGTAAGACTACGATTATGTGGTCGGCATGGCCATCAGGGAAGCACGCTGTAGAAGTTGGGCAAGGCGGCGGTCATGGCTATACCGAGGTTGGCCGATTGTGCAATCTGAGATGCTGCTGTGGTGGGAGAAACGCAAGAACGATGGTACAAGAAGGTTTAGCGATTTCAGTTGGTCAATTGACCCGTGCTTAGGATCTTCCGACTCCCCTGGCTTGCAATCCAAAATTAAGTGCGTCTGCTGTGGGAAATTTCTCACGCCGATATCACGAGCTGTTCGGTCACTCCGCTTCGAGATCTACGGAAGCACCGATGGTTGGCACTCTTGCAAGCAACGTCAACAGGATATGGTCGCCAAACCCGACGAAGATTCCCACGTAATCGCCCATACCATTTCAACAGAAACTTGTGAGATACAGCGGTGTGTGCAGATGAATCCGACTCCTTCTATTGTCCATGTGTGATTCATGCGCGCTCTCCTTCACTCAGCGTCCTCATCACCTTGCACGGCGATCCCGCAGCCACACTCCAATCCGGAATGTTCTTGGTCACGATGCTCCCGGCCCCGATCGTACATCCTCTGCCAATCTCTACACCAGCCATGATGATCGTCCCGCCGCCCACCCACGTGTCCTTGCCGATACTTACCGGCAAGCTCCTCTCGAGGCCCTGCACCCTTTCCTTGACCGACACCGAGTGCGTGCCACAATAGATGCTGACGTTCGGTCCAAACAGCACGCCATCTCCCAGCCTCACCTCGGAACAATCCAGGATGGTCGTATTGTAATTCGCATAGAAGGCACCTTCCAGCTTGATGTTGGTGCCGTAGTCGACCCAAAGAGGAGGCTCGAACTCGGCTCTGGCGACGGAAGAGAGCGGAACTTCGAGCAGATCGGCGAGGATGCGTTTGCGATCTTCGGACATGACGGTTTGGCCTTGGTTGAAGGCGGCGGTCTCATCGTCGAGCGCCGAGGTGGGTTGGGTCGCGTTATATTGGGTTTGGAGGCGACGTGCTTTCACTCGAGCGCGGATGAGGTGCTCGGTGTTTGCGATGTAGGGGAGACCGACTAGCATCTTGGATTCCTCGCTCATGGTGTCGACCTTGGAGCCGTACTGACGGTCGATCTCTTCAAAGAGCTTGGACGTGCCTGACATCTTGAAAAAGTATAAATGAGTTTGGTAGGACAATGGATCCTGAAGAGAGGGAGATGGTGAGGCTGATTGTGAGGGTGCAACTTGGGCCTCTTATACGCAATGGAGTCACATCAGGGACGTCCCGGCAACACGACAAGCCGGTGATTTCGAGGAGCGCCAAGACTTGCCCTTTGCGCTTTCTCCGCAAATACCAAAGAGCTGCGGGTGAGCGTGGGGGACCAACATCTTCGGCGTGCCTTTTTCTCCACGTCACGCAGACCGAGTTCTGACCGACAAGCGCCGTTCGCACCATACACTTCTTTTCTTCCCCTTGTAGTCTCCTGTCTATCGCCGTCAGAAGCATCAGCCCTAGCTGCCAAGAATTCACTTCACTCTTCGCAGTCTTCACAATCAGGTATTGAAGAGGTCAAGAGGCTCCTGACGGGTGAGGCAAGCAATTAACCAGAGCCTGTATTATGTAAGCATTACGTTATCTGACCGTCCAATCTGCGAGTCACAGTCGAAATTTGGCACACCGACACACGTACGCTCTCCAGTTCTTCGCAATCTTCTCGCCCCTTCTAACCTCTCATCATCATCACCTCTCATTCCCCTTTGCGATTTCGCCCATTATGTCCTCGCAAGCTACGCTTTCTGCCGCTGAGCGCTTCTCTCTCATCACTCGCGACCTCGACGAAGTGCTCGGCGCCGACATCATCAAATCCGTCCTCGAGAAAGACGAACGACCCCTCTCCGCCTACTGGGGCACTGCGCCCACCGGACGTCCTCACGTTGGCTACCTCGTGCCCCTTACAAAGATCGCCGACTTCCTCCGCGCGGGCGTTGAGGTCAAGATCCTCCTCGCCGATATCCATGCGTTCCTGGACAACCTGAAAGCTCCCATTGAGCTCGTCCGTCATCGAGTCAACTACTACCGACATGTCCTCACCGCAGTGTTCAAGGCGATCGGCGTTCCGACCGACCGATTGGTATTCGTTGTGGGAAGCAGCTACCAGTTGACGGAGGCCTACAATATGGACAATTACCGACTGTGCGCTTCGGTCACGGAGCACGATGCTAAGAAAGCCGGTGCTGAGGTGGTCAAGCAAGTCGCGAGTCCGTTGCTTTCTGGATTGCTCTACCCCGGATTGCAGGCGTTGGACGAGCAGTATCTGGGCGTGGACATGCAATTCGGAGGTGTCGATCAGCGCAAGATCTTCACGTTTGCCGAACAGTACCTTCCCAAACTCGGATACACAAAGCGCGCGCATCTCATGAACGCCATGGTGCCTGGGTTGAAGGGCAGCAAAATGTCCAGCTCGGACAACTCTAGCAAGATCGACTTCCTCGATACACCAAAGGAGGTTTCCAAAAAGATCGCGGATGCCGTCTGCGCTCCCGGCGAGATCGATGGGAACGGTGTGCTCGGATTCGTCCGTGCCGTCCTCTTCCCCATCGCCCGCTTGAGGGTGGAATCCGAAACCATGGGTACACCTGTTTCCGAGGCCCAAGGTGCATCCCGTTCCTTTGTGGCGCAGGATGCCCCGAAGGGTACCATGTTCAGCATCGTCCGATCCGAAAAGTACGGCGGTTCGCTTCACTACGACGACTACTCGAAGCTCGAATCCGACTACGCTACCGGAGCCATCCACCCCGCCGACTTGAAAAAGGCTGTCGCAGAGGCCATCAGCACCCTCCTCGAGCCAGTTCAAAAACTCTTCGAGACCGATGCAGAGTTCAAGAAGGCGAAAGAGGATGCCTACCCGGAGGATGCAGGGCCGGTGCAGAAGAAGAAGGAGAAGAAGATCAATCCGAGAAACGCGCATTTCTACACCAAGGAGGAGGGTGGAACCGCAGAGACCAAGGAGGAGGCCTTGAGGAATCAGAAGGAGGATAAGAAGCAGAAGGCAGCCGCAAAGGCGCAGAAGCAGCCGGAGCCGAGGTTGCCCGCGGACAAGGACGAGGCCAAGGCGACACCGAAGGATGAGGAGAACGAGACGTTTGTCGAGGCTACACGTGCTGGGTTGGACAATGTCGATCTGAACAAGCAGTAGGAGCGCCTGCATTCATATTGCTTACAAGACGAAATGCGCTGAGCTTGTTGCAATTCCAGGGCTTTTCGCGACACAAATGTGATGGTGTGTGTGAATGATGCAATGCTGCTATCCGCTCATCCTGTCTATCTCTCGGTCTTTAGCTTCTCCAACGTTGTCCTGGCCAATTCCACCGTTTCCTCGGGCAACCTCGCCAACTTCGCCACCTGCAATCCGTAACTCTCCCTGTTAATCCCCCTCCTCAACCTATGTTCATACACCAATCCTTCCTCATCCCCGTCCTCGTCGTGCTCTCCCACATCTGTACACCAGAACTCCGTCCGCTCCCACCGCTCTTTCTGCACCAAATCGCATATCTCATGGAAATGAGTCGCAAAGATGGTCCTGCAGCCTCTATCCTTGAGACTCTTGAGCGTTGCGAAACCGACGGCGATTCCGGTCAGATTGCTGGTACCTCGGCCAATTTCGTCGGCGATGACGAGGGAGCGGTGGGTGGCACGGTGGAGGATTTCGCCGACTTCGGACATCTCGACCATGAAGGTGGAGCGGTCGCGGAAGACGTCGTCCTGGGCACCTATGCGGGTGAATATCCGATCGACCCGTCCGATCCGCGTAGGTTGGGAAGAGGGGACGAAGCATCCGGATTGCGCGAGAATCGTCAACAGCGCGATCGAGCGGAGGAAGGTCGATTTCCCACCCATATTCGGTCCCGTCAACACGCAGATTCCGTCCAAGGAAAGAGAGTTCGGGGTGAACAATCGACCACGCTCCAACAGTCCCATTTCGACGGAAAGATGTCTAGCCGCGGTAACGTCGATCGAGGTGGAGTCGTCCAGCACCGGTCGTACGAGGGAGAACTCATCCGCAGCTTGCGAGAAGGACGTCAGCACATCGAGCTGATCGAGCAGTTTGGCGTTGGTCCGGAGGTAGGAGGACGAGGTGAGCACCAGTTGCCGCAGCGACTCGAGTTGGATGGATTCGAGCGATTGGATTTCGGAAGAGGAGCGGTCGAGACGCGAGCCGAGCGCCGTCCATGTGGGACAGTAGTAGGTGTGCGTCGAGCGGTTCTTGCCCGCGATGTGAAGGGTGAGGTCTGATGGGGATGACGTGCAAGTTTTGGGGAGTGGGAGCGCGGGTTGAGTAGGGAGAGGTTTGCCGCGAGAATGCACGACGTAGCCTTGACCGAGCACGTAGCGGAGCGTGACGGAGTCCGAGGAGTAGGCGCGTTGGAAGTCGAGTTCGAGTTTGCGGGCGGTCCGTCGCAGGGACTGGTGGGAGCGGGTGAGGGCGGTGAGGGTTTTCGAGGAGGATGGTCGGATGAGGTGTTCGAAGTCGTCGCCCCAGAGGGAGGAGGTATCGTCGAGGTCTGATTCGGGAGAGGTGGAACGGATACGTTTACTCGTGGTGACACCTTTCGAGCTGGCGGTGGCGGTATTCCCGAGACTGCGTATCTGAGCGCGCGAAGTATCCGCTACCGACGACGACCCAGCTGCAGCGGCGATTCCCTCCACCTCGTTAGCCAGCGTCTCCTGCCTCTCCAACCTCGCCGCAATCACCCTCTCATCGATCGCCTCACCCAGCTTACTCGCCAGCTCTCCCAAGTCATGAAACTTCCCCACCAACCCCTCGACCGTCTCCCTCTCCTTTTCGTCACCCGTCAAAAACTCCATTTCCCCTACCATCAAACTCTTCACCCGCTCCATCGCCCCAATGGCATCCCTCACCTCCAACAGATCCTGCTCGTCGTTCCTCCTCGTCACCAACTTCTGCAACACCCTCGTCACATCCCCCGCCCCTAGCCTCAGGATCGACCTCACGTCCTCCCTCAGCTCCTTCTTCTTCAGGAAGAGTTCGACGAGGTCGAAGCGCGCGTTGATCGTCGCGAGCGAGGTGGACGGATTGCAGAGCCATTGCTGGAGGAGACGCGTGCCGCCTTTGGTGACGGTTCGACGGAGGACGGAGAAGAGGGAGCCGCGGGTGGAGCCTTCGCGACCGGTGGAGCGGATCTCGAGCGCGGAGAGCGTGTGCGCGTCGATCTGCATGATGCTGTCGAGGTGCTGGTGGAGCGGACGGGAGAGGGAGAGGGAGGTGAGCGTGGAGGTGGTTTCCTGGTCGAGCAGGCGGGTGCGGAGGTAGGAGAGGAGGGTGTGGACGGTGGCTGTTTCGACGGGATCGAGGGATACCGCCGGCGTGGGGGGAGAGTCCGATCGTTGTGAGAGGTCTGCTGGGAGGGGGCTTGCAGGAGGGTCCGGAGGAGGTGGATGGAAGTGTGAAATGTACACACTGGAATCCGTCACCAGCTCCCTGATGTCCACCTTGACTCGATCCTGGCCCCCATCCTCGTCGACCAACCCGGCATCGATCGTCCCCGAATCCACCACGACCTCCCTCGGCCCGATCCTCGCAATCTCATCCCGCAAACTCTTTGCGTCCTCACAAACAGCCGTATTGAAATCCGCCGTACCCACATCCAACCAAGCCAGCCCATACCTCACCCTCCTTCCCCCCTCCTCGTCCTCCACCCTCTTACTGCTAACCCCCACGATGAAATTGTTCACGAAAGGATCCAGAAACTTCTCATCGATCAGCGTTCCCGGGCTAACCACCCGATTGACCCTCCTGGTGATCTCCGTAGCGTTGCCAGCGACGGCGTCCTTCGGTCTGAACTCTTCCGAGATGGCGACGAGCAGCCCCTTGTCGAGGACGAGGATCTTGAGGTACTTTTCGAGCTGAAAGACGGGGAAGCCCGCCATGGGGACGTCTTGACCTGCCCACCGACGGTTGGCCAGCTTGATGTTGAGGAGGGAGGCGATTTGCGCAGCTTGGGAGAAGTAGGACTCGTAGAAACCGCCGACGCGGGTGAGCAGGATGGTGGAGTGGAAGCGCGCCATGTCGTCGAGCACGGATTGGGCTAGTGGTGGCCATCGAATGGGTTCTTCCGGAGCAGCAGGAGTTGGAGTGGAGGGCCGAGATGATGGGTCTGGTTTGGAGCGAGATTTGCCGGCGCTACGTTTGCGGTTTGCTGGCGGGACGAGGGCGGAGAGAGGCGGAAGCGGTTGGCCGTCCTCTCCGAGAATGGACGATGAGAGCGAGTCGTACGCTACTGTTGTGCGACGTTTCGTCCGTGATGAGGAAGCAGATACTGTGGAGGCGGGTTCGTCGTTGTTCTCGGAAGAATAGGCGGCATGTCTGGTGGCATTGGTCGAGAAGCCTCTTGTCCGTGCCTGTACCTGTGGCTGCACCGGAGATCTGCCGTGACATCGGATTATCGTCGAGGGGGGACTCGCCTCCGCAGCTGTAACAAGAGTCCTGCTCGTGCTGGCCAGCCGGGTCGAGCGTAGCCCAACCGCCATTCCTGATCTAGAACCAGCACCTTGAGCCCCGCCCACCGCCCAGTCCCGGCAGCTCGACGGAGCGCTGCGCAATGAACATCCCAAGCCGCTACTTGCACAACCATACCTGGCTACATCCGTGCCGCCGCCAAGCAGCACCCTCCTCATCTTTGCAGTCGCAGACGAAGCCGTTCAGAGCCCCTTCATTGTCCTTTCTAGCGAGATCGGGGTCCGAAAGCGACGATGGAAAGGAGGTGGAAGCTGTTCGAGAAGAAAAAGTGAAACCACGCAACTCCCAAGTGAGCCCTTTGGACCCTGTCGCGCGCCAAGCGCGGCTGTGGAGAGGCGCGAGCTTCTAACATTCTTCCTCCAAAAAAGTCTCACTCCTCATCATATACACTGCAACTCTCATGCTCATTGGCCGACGACTCTTCAAGGCCCTTCACATAGACGGACCTTCTCGTAGCATCATCCTATCGTCGGAGCATGCTCTATTGCCAGTGCACTCTAAGACGACAAGCACCGAAAAGCATCCAGCTCAAGAAAGCTTCTTCATCCTGTACTCCAACTTGATATCCCCACCCGTCCGCCAAAAGAACCTCTGGCACTGCGCCAGCGTTACATCGACCGGCAACACCGCATCGTTGCACAGGATCTCGATCACTTCGTGCGGCGCCAGCATCGGTTCGAACGAATCCTGCGCCTTCGCATCCTGCTCTCCTGATTGCCCCGCGTCTGCTCTGGTCATACTCAGCCCGGCGGCGAATCCTGCCGATCCGTGCTGCCCCGACTGCGCACCCGCACTCCCTACAACCGGCGAAGCTAGCCCACGCTTCGCCCCAGCCGCACCCGCATCAACTGATGACCTCCTACTAGCATTGATGCTCGCAGTCCTCGACCGCGGGGCCGACAGCTCCAGCTTCTCCGACACGTAGAAACACGCCTTCTTGATCCGCAAGCATCGCGTCGCCGTCAACCTCGCATTCCCCGTCGGCAGCTCCGGCATCGGCTGCACCGTGTTCAGATCGTATCCGCCGAACCCGTCCGACTGCGTATCGGCAGGCTTCCACGGAGACAGGGTGAAGCTCAGCTTGACCGGATCTCGTGCATTGACGTGGTTGTTGAGCAGGCAGTCGAGCAGCCAGAACGGCGCCGTCTGCTCGAGCACTTCCGTGTCGTCGCCGGTGCAGCTGACAAGACCGCGATAGACGGCTTCCCACGAGCCTGCGTCGGCTGACGATTGGGATATGATCACCGCAGTGTCCTGTGGCAGAGGCAGTCTCGGCATCTCGTCCAGGGATGCTGGCGCCAAAGGTTTGCCGAACAGCTCCTCCAGCATCTGCACGTGCGTCAACACCTTCGAAGATGCATCGTTGCCATTCGACCCGTTCGCTGCAGCGGCAGCGTCGCGTGCTTTCTTGGCAGCATCGTCTAGCGTATCTGCCTGTGCATCCGCCTTGTCCGTCTTATTCTTACCGAATCGGAACTTGTTCATGAACCCACTTCCACCTCCTGTGCCGTTGCCTGCGTTGACGCCTGGAGTGACGACGTTGCCATTGATCTCGTCTCCACCTGCCGACGACCCTTCCCTCGCTCTTGCTCCGGGGGTCTGCGGTACTTTACTGTTACCCGAAGCAGGCGTTGACCCCCTTGCAGAAAAGTAATCACCAGCAGACTGACCCGAGTCTCCCAACACCGTCGTCGAGGTTGGGAGCGCCGTGCGATCGCCGCTGGCCCCATTCTTCTGCGCGGAGCCCAAGTAGAGCGGGTTTGAAGCCGATGACGTCAGTGCCGGAGTCTTGGCCGGCGTGGCTAGGCCCATCGTCATGCCAGGTGTGAACGGCCCGTTCCTCTGAGCGCGTGCAATCTTGTCCCACGCTGGCGTCTCCGGAGGCAGATGACTTGACTCCCGATTCATCGAAGCAGGACGCAGCTGGCATTCAGCTTCGACAAAGCCAGCAAACAGGTTCCGCAACAGCCAGCGAGCTACTTGACCACGCTGATCCTCCTTGAAGCTAGCGCTATCGACGCAGTCGAGGAATTCGTCGATGTAGAACTCGGCCTCGAAGCAGCGAGGCTCTTCGATGTGAACAGTCAAGGCGCCACCTCTCGTCTCCGCAGAGCACCAGAGAGGAGTGACACCTTGCCCCTCGATGCGCTCCTTGACCACCTCTAGCGTATCGCCCGGCGTCTGCTCCGGCCGCCACTTGCGCATGAACGTGTAGGGTATGAGGCTGGACTCGAGCGCAGCCTTTTCGACTTCGTCGCGATCAAAGTCACCGATGCAGACGCCTTTGACAATGTCCCACAGCATGACCGAGCCGGTGCTATCGATAGTGATGACGTGACGACGGTCATTCAGCATCGACAAGCGGACCAGACCATGCGCGCCCCGAATCACAGCATCTGGCTTGGATCGCAGCGGCGTCGCCTCTTGCGCCAGCTCGCGGTCCTCGAAAGCAAGTCTCGCCTGGTAGGCAAGGTCGTCTTCGTCATCTGCATGCCCCGCATTGACAGCACCCCCTTCGTCCTGGCCCACGACATTCAGGCGCATCTCGGCCAAGTGCTTTGCCGCTGTAGAGGCATCGGCGTCGGATTCGCTCTCCCACGACTTGCCTAGACCCTCTGGCTCGTACATCTGATCTGTTGGCGCAAAACGGAGACTGCCGGAGCGCGTGCTGGCAGGACGGTGCGGCATGTCCATGGCCTGAACCTGAGCTAGGTGTGGGTTCAAGGGCGAGACGACAGGCGACCGAGCAGCCGCGGAAGGCATCATGATGCTGTTTTGGTCCATCGACATGCGACTGGCAATGGAGCGCAAAGGGGCCATGCTGAACATGGATTCGTCGGCGTGACCGCGTGGATCGCGCACACTGACACTCCCGAGGCCAATCTTGTCGCCATATGGGTCGCTGACGGGCGCCAGACTGACCAGGCTATCGAACGGAATGCCATGGAGAGTTGCTGCGAGAGGTACGTTCGCTGGCGGCAAACCCATTCCTGTTTGAAGCGCTGAGAGCATGGAAGCAGATGATGTAGCCGCAGCAGCAGCATCACCCATGTTATGTGCAGGAGAGTCGCGACGGAGCAGTGCGGGCGATGGCTCGGCAAACTTGACCGAGGGCGAAGGCAAGAGAAGGGTAGAGTCTGGCGATCGACCGGTCTCAGTGCTGTGTCGATGCGAAGTGGGGCTGCCAAACGAATTACGATGAGCAAATTCGCGCGATCGTGAGTGCGTGCCGCCGATAGGGTAGATCGCTTCTCGCTCTGAGCGACGCGGCACGTCTCTCCAACGGCTGACGCTGGTCTGGCCTGTCGCGGTCCAGAAGTAAGTGTCGTCGAGTGCCACAATCTTCTGAATGCCGGACTTTGCATCACGCCTGTGCAAGTCGGGCTGATGGTGCGACACCTCGTCGTCCTCATCCTGCTCTTGATCTTCCATTGCCGGATCGCGCTCTTGACAAAGCACGACGCACTCGCCTTCTGAGACTTCTGCGCAACGCTCCCAGTCCACCTTGCAAACATATCCTTGACGATCTCCCGAGTAGAATACATCGAGCGTGGGATGGTCGGAGAAGAGCGACCAGACCGAGTCGTCGTGGTGCGTAAACGTATGCAGACATCGCTGCTCGCCCAATGACCACAGGCGTACCGTGGAGTCTGCCGAGCCGGATAGAAGGAAGCGGCCATCTTCGCTGACCAGCACTGCACGCACATTGTCCGTGTGACCGACGAGCTCTGCGCACTTTTTGCCGCTGCGTGGGTCCCAGACCTTGACGTGCTGCTCGGGTGAGCCAGCAGCAATGACGGAACCGCTCGGATTGACGCTGAGGGCGTAGACCGACGTCTTGACAGCCTTGTCGTCGAGCTCGAGCATGGGCGCTGCCCTGGCTTCACGAATGTCCCACAGCTTGATGCACTTGTCGAAGCCACCACTGGCGACATAGCCAGACTCGGATGCGTGTGCGAGCGCCTTGACGTAGTCCTTGTGAGTGCCAAGCACATGCGGGCTGAGGCTGTGCTGCGGATCGTGGGGGTTCCAGACCTTGACGGTACGATCCGAAGAGGCCGAAATGAGGGTCTGGTTCTGGTTGCAAAGGATAATGTCATTGATCCAGTCGGTGTGCGACTGGACACATTGGCGGAAATGGGTCGATTTGGCTCGATGGGCGCGTAATGGGTCCGCTTGCCAGTAGGTGAGTGCATCGATGTCCGCGCCAGAAGGTAAGGCGGAGGTGTCCGCAAGCAGACCAATGGACTCGCTGTGTTGGAGATGAGGCGAGGGCGAGGCTCCGAAATCGTCATGATCGTTGAACGTCTGCACGCTCCTCTTTCGCATCGGCAGTCCCAGTTCCCAGGCACCAACGAGACCGTCGCGACCACCGGTGTAGAGGATGCCTGGAGGGACTGCCTCGCGGTCATGTTTGGCAACGTAGCTGTGTTCGCTGTCATGGTGTCGGTCCATATCGCCGTCGAGATCATGGTCGTCATCGTCGACTGCTCCGGCAATGCATGTGATGGTATCTATCGCGAGAGAAGAGACGGCCAACGAGTGCTGCGGGTGCGATGCGAGTGGAGCATTCGACTGTGTCGATCTACTTGATGCCGAAGCAGAAGAGAGCGAGGGCAGCGAAGAGGACGAAGATGCCGTGCCACCATTGTAGGGGCGGAGCGTGGGCGGTGTGAGGAGTGGACCGGTGCTACATTTGCGATCAGCGCCTAAGGGAGGTAGTCCGAACGTAGTTGGTGGAGAGCGACATGGCGGCAGAACATACGAGACACGCTTTGTGGTGGGTTTGGCGTCAGCGTCCATATCTGCAATCCGCACCTGCGAGTGAGTCGAGCAGACGAGAGCTTGCGTGTCCTGGTCAACTGTAGCTTCGAGCTCGAGTCGATAGACAGCTCAGGATGCGTGTGTACAAAAGCGCGCTGCGACTTTGCATGCGACACGGGTGATGTAGGCAATGAGACTTGAGAGAAAGCTCGTATCACGGCTGTATCATGTTGGTCCAAAAGATGGTCGGGCTGAGGTGGTATGCCTTGAACGCTAAGCAGCTTACCAGAAGCTGAGTTGAAAGTGGTAGGGTTTGCGGAATACGACCGTCGGCTGATGCTCCGGCTGCGACGAGAACCCTTCGAAATATGATGCTGAGTTGCGTCAAGTCGAGAATGGAAAGAGCCAAATCACGATGTGGAGACTATCGAAGGTCCGAAATGGTGTGGAACGGAGTAGCCGATGGATGTGATTCTGCAGGGTGTTCTTTCGCGCCCAAACGAGATTGTTGGATGAATGGAATGACATCGGCGACGGCTGATCCGAGAGCGAAATGGCGGGATGGACGCTCGTCAGCTGCCTCTCTTCCGAGGCGAGGCGGCCGTGCAGATTGGGAATCTGCACGACGGCTATCGCGGTGTCGGTCGGTCGCAAAGAGCCGAACGGCCAATTCAAATTTGATAAGGCGTGCAGGCACAAGGAAGAACCGAAGAAGAAAAAGGCGGGGGAAAAGAAGACTCGTATTGTGCTTTCTCTGTGTTTCCTGCATTGGCTCGCATTGGCTCAGGAACCGCCGGACCGTCTGTGCATCTTGCACTGTTCTGCTCAAGCTCGAGAGCGTCGATTGTATATCGTTCTTGCAAGGAGGTAGCACACAGAAGAGGAGTCGACACCAAACACATGACACATGACACATGCTTCAAATCTGATGGTTGGATAATCGTCTGGAGATGAGGCCAGCTCGCTACTATACACTGTACGCAATGTGTCGCACCTCGACTCACAACACTGCCTGAACATCGCCCCACAATTGCTCGTACGCCTCTCCGACCTCTGGCAGCAGATCATCCGCCAACATGGCCCTCTTCTTCTTGCCAAACGCCAGCCTGCTGCACGTCCTCGCCGTCAGACTCGCTCCATACCCAGCCAACAGCAGCAACCTGTCTTGCGCGATGAGATCCCCTTTTCCCTCTGTGCTCGTGGTTGCTGGAAGACCCTTGTTCTCTTCCTCGTAGATCTTTGCCCACCCGGCAAACGTTCCCAAGCACCCGGCTAGAATATCGCCCTGACCACCGCAACGTTTCAGACCACCCTCGACATCTACGTAGAGAACCTCTTTGCCGTTGGTAATACGATCCACTTTGCCCTTTTCCAACACCGTGGGTCCCTGTAGAGCCGTGGCGAGCTTTTTGGCAGCGGAATCAGGGTCCTGTTTCGTATCGACACCGAGCTTATCGCACAGTCGGGCGAATTCTGCTACATTCGGAGTGAGGATCGCTTTCTTGTACCCTTGAACCAACTCCGGTTCGTTTTGCAGAAGCCACAGACCATCCGCATCTACGACGACGTACATGTCGTGTTTTCGGGCCAGGTTGATGCACAGCTTGGCGCATTTCTGCATAAACTCGTCGCGACCCAGTCCCGGTCCAATGACGACAGCGTGGAATCGCTGGAACAGTTCGTCGACCGATTTCTCCACCTCGGACCATTCCAGCCTGGGATCGAGCAGTCGGTTGACGATGAGATCGGGCGAGTAGGTCTTGATCACGTTGCCCGCTTCCGGTGTGCAGATGGTGTACGACATATCGCATCCGAACCGCATCGAGGACATCGAGGCGAAGAAGGGCGCTCCGGTGTAGTCGCGAGAGCCACCGACGATGCCGATCCGTCCAGCTTGGCCTTTGTGCTTGGTGGTGGACAGAGGCGGGATGATGCGTTTGACGGACTGCATGAGAGATTGCTGCGTCGAGGTGGTGGCCAGCGCTTTCGAGGTGAGGGAGGAGAGGTTCGTAGTGATGGTGCTGGCCAGCTTGCCAGGTGCTGCGGCTGTCGACATCTTGGCCAAAAATCGAGTCCAGATCGGCTTTGTTCTTGCAAGGTCTAAGATCGGAAAAGGGGGCTACCGATGGAAGGTTGACGTCGTACCTGGGTCTCTAACGGGCTGAGATGGTATTGATCAAAGCGATGTCGGTGGTTGAAGATGGTGGACGGAAGAGCGGAGTCAGCACGCTTCTCATAAATGCTTAACACGTCGAGCGCAGTTCAAGGCTTTCACTCAAGACGATCTTCTCTCGAGTCAAAAGCCACAACGTCAGCTGCTGCTTGCTGTCAGGAAGGGATGATTCAGGATCGACTATGACGGCGAGCGTACAAAGCGAACACCACTCTGGCCCTATCCGAGCTGGAAAGCTCACTCAGCAGATCGCCATGTGGAGGCTTGTGCGTCAGTCAGAAGAAAGTGCAAAGAAAAATATCGAAATACAAATATTATAAAATAAGATCAGCACGATGATCATCGTCGTCGCCGTGAACCACCGTTTCTGGCATGATCATCTTCTCCTGGTCGGCGGATCTCGAACGAGACAAGTTCAAGGTTTGATATTCTGAGCTTCAGAACAGGATGGAGTTCATTTCCTGTGGGTATACTGTTCATGTCTACAAGATGTGCTGCCACTATCAGTGGCCCCTGACACCATGGTGACGAGTACAGTCGTCAATACTAGCCTCCCAGTCGCATCGCGTCAAAGATCAAGATCCACATGCTGAGGTACGACAGCACAGCGATCGGCACCACGTTTCTCCACACCGCCACCTCCCAGTGAAAGTTCCGGCGGCTGCTCGTGCGTTCGCGGATCCAAGCGCCATCCCGATAGACGTAGCGCGTGTGGCCTTGTCTGTACATCGACGCCTTGAACGGGAAGGGTGGCAGCACCGGTCGACGTCCAAACATCCCTGTCTCGGTGGCTGTTCGGTCCTCAGGTGAGGTAGAAACCCTTGCTGCGGGGTTCACGTGAGGTGGAAGTCGTCGACGCAGACCTTGTTGATCCCATCGAGGTCCTGAGCCTGAGCGTGACGGTGGTGTACCGCTGCCGCCGAGAACGGTGCGATCTGTTGTGTAGCCAGGCCAGTCCGAATCAGCTTCCATTTCTGTCTCAGTCCCTGTACCGCCCGACTGTCGAGATCGATCACCCACGAAGGTTCTCATCCCCGTTCCGTCGTCGTTCTTTCGACGCCGCGAAGTAGCAGCGAACGAAGGGCCACCGATGACTGCACGCCAGAATCTGGTTCCTTGTCCACCGCGACGGCGTCGCCTCCGCCGCTCCCGCTCCGATGCGAAGAAGCTCGCTGCAGCTGCATCGCTCTCATCGCCAGATCTTGGGTCCCAGTCCGAGTCTCCGACCAGCGACTGACCACCCGCTGATGACCAAGGATGCTGATCCGCCCGCAACATCCTATCTGCCGCACTCTGTCGCGGAGGACTCTTGACAAAGCGACTGTCGGACAGGTAACCGAGCACGTCGTCTGCCTCGTCGTCGTCTTCTTCCTCCTCGTCCAGCTCGTCGTCCAAGGGTGCATCGGCGATGTTGCTTGTCACCCAGCGCGAGACTACATCGCTGAGGGCGGTGGTGGTGCCAATGACTACCCATGCGCCCAACGGCTGATCGGCTCCAAAGACGTGGACTGTGATTCGCACCAGCGGCCAGCAGATTGCCTGCAACGCCACCAGACGGATGAGCGATGGCAGGATGGAATAGTAAAGCAGCCAGCGGCGCAGAAGCAGCGTAGTAAACGACAGCGCGTGGTAGGCCGTGCTCATGCTCCACAGGCACGCGACGGCAAAATCCAACGAACCGGGTTGACGACGACCCAGACGATGCGCATCGAGCAGTGCTGGCTGCAGCCGCGGGGAGTGAGCACTCGTAAAGTGATTCGCTCCGTTGTCGGTGATGACGATCTGACCGGGGCTGAGCAGATGGCCGTGCTCTGTTGCCAGAATCCAAGCGTTGCGAGCCAGCCAGAAGGTGCCGATGCAGCCGGGCACTGCAGCGAGAACACGCAACGAATGCAAGAGAAGCTTGAGCACCAACGGAAACGTTTCTTCGTCTTCTTCGGCAGCAGTTGCGCTGGATTTCGGCACCGCGCTGTCTTCAGCCTTGTGCGTTGCTGAGACACGGTCGATGGAGGGATTTGTTGGAGACAGATTGCGGGCGGGATCCGGCGACATTGGACTCTCGCGTCGGCTCATATCAGAGGTCGGAGATATTGGCGTGCTGCTAGTGTCGGCATGCTGGTCGTCACTTCGACTTGCTCGGCTCGCAGGCCGATCGACCAGGCGTCTCTGAAAACCCTCCTCGGCAGCATCTGCGACAACGGCTGATGCGCTCGCACCGGACGGAGCTGTCAATGCCCTTGATGCGGTATGGGAAGCCTCATCGCGCGATGACTCGGCAGCAGAAGCCCTTGCCTGCGTGGAGTGAATGGGCGTACGCGGACGAAGAAGCTGTCGCGCGCTACCTGCCGATCCTGATCGTCGTCTTCTGGATAGGACAGCTTGTGACTGTACAGAGGATGCTGGCAAAGAAGAGGAAAAGGCGTTCGATGACGATTCCAGCCTTGTCAAGTTGTCGGTCGAAGCGATTGTCTGCCTTCTCTCGTCCCGCCTCTGTTTCGAGCGGGAGGAAGAGAAGGAGAGCATCGTGGCGAGATCTTCGTCACCATCGCTGTCTGGAGCAAACCGAGGACTGGCGGGGTTCGAAGAAAAGGAGGGAACATGCGCGACGCTCGGCGTCATCTCGAGTCCTGCTGGGAAGGGCGATAGGCTCGTAAGACCACGACGTCCGTAGAAGGAGGCGGAAGGAGATGGTGGACCACTGCGACTGCCACGAGAAGACGATCGGGCCCGTAGCGGTGGTCGTGCGAGCGGCGTCGCAGAGGGTGGGCTTGAGAGAGATTGCGGGCCGCTGCTGAAAGGGATGGAAATTGGTGGAGGCAGTGGTGGGTCGCTACCGTTGTGCAACGTTGATGCGGAGGACGGGTTGGACGGTAGCCCGTTCTGATTCGCACCAAGGCCATGTGCAACCGCACCGAGATCAGTGGCTCTTTCGAGCTCGGTTTCGTGAGCCGATGCCTGAGGGGCGTAGGGGGGAGGCGATTCGAACTCGTGACCGAGATAGGAAGAGTCGAGGTCGGGAAGATGTGGCGTGCTGCGGCTGGCAAAGAGGCGCTGCAGTCCAAGCAAGTGAGCCGTCTGCTGCATATGAGCTGCATGCTGAGCCCACTCGGATTGGCTCGCGGAACGAGCCGCATGTGTGGGGTGGGGAGAGAGGCGACCAAAGACGGTATCGAGGGGCGGGGATGGATCGGTTCGACCATCGTTGGCACGAAGCTCGGGATGAGAGCTACCACTTTGTGACTGCAGCTGAGCCAGCAGTGCCGAGTCGAAGTAGTCGGAGGCATTGCGAGAGGGGGCGGATGGCGGCGATGCGGGCGATGGGCTGTCGAGATTCCAGTCTGTAGGCATCAAGTGGTCGGCCATCGCTGCTGCTTGAGCGATGGGGGACATGGTGAAGGGCAAGGGGGCAGACGCAGACGTGAGTGGAGACGGTGGAGCTGTCATGGCGGTCGCCCCTCGAGACGACGGGTCATGCTCGCGAGCAGCGGACTGGCTGCTGATCTCATCAAGATGCGAAGTCGAACGATTTCGAAGGCTAGCATTCAGCCTTGTCTGGTCGTCCGAAGTCACCGTGGCTGAGTAGTTGTTGTGATGAGCAGCAGAGCGGCCTGACACAGACGAGGCACCCGACCTGCTGCCGTTACGACTGTGTGCTGAATGAGCTTGCTGAGCTCTACGTGACTTCTTGTTGCCAGTGGCCTGCCGGGTCTGGTGCACATGGGATGAGGCGACGTTGTGGAGTGATGCGGACGAGGACGCACGAGATCTCGTTCCTGGAACGACGGACTGATCGTGCGATGGAGAGACGGAGACTGCATGGTGAGAGCCAAATGTGTGCTGACTGTCGATGGCAGCTAGAAGCGGTGGGCTCAACACGGAATGTTGAGAGAAGGCAGCTCCGTCGTGCGACATTGTCGAAAAGTGCGCCGAGGTGGTGATCGAGGTGCTTGGTTCGTCATTGGGTCATGTCAGTACGTGGTCGCGATGTGTCAGAGTCAGACATCCATATGTAACTATCGTTGAGCAAGTTGGACCTAGGTCGGTGTTGCTGACATTTGCGTTCACCGTGATCGAGAAGGTTTCTCGTCAATCGAGTTGACCAGCAACGGGACTGATAAGCGACCAATACGTTTGGCCAGCTTGCGGCGGACACGTCCGAGACAGACAGAAGCGTTGATAAGCCTCAATCAAGGTTGACGATGGGCAGAAAGAAAAGCAAAAGACAAGAGGAAAGAGGCAGGAAAGCAACGTCGTCGAAGGTTTCGGCGATGCCGATGAGAAAAGGGCCCGAGCTTATCTCGCTTCCAACGGTGTGGAACGAAGGCGCTCGACAGGGTCCAATTTCTGTGCAGACTCATTTTGGCTCCCATTTCAAGGCCTCTTTTTTCGGTTGTGCATTTCCGAAACTTGACTCACGACTTGATCATCTTCTGTGACAAGGTTGCCTTCGGTTCCTCCAACATCGTCGGGCAGTTCCAAGTTCATCAGGCACACAAACATCAGACTTGGTTGCTCGCTTTTCCTCAGGTGAATGTCAGGGAGAGTCGCAACTGGTGTAGAGAGGATGTCTTGATTTCGTGCGTCTATTCTGAGGGCAGTAAGGTTACGGTGTGACAACGCCGTCGCATGACTGAAGATGCAGAGCGGACTGAGGTGATCTTGCTTCACTTTGCACCAACGGCAGTGGCGATGGACGATGGAGGCGGACGACCAAAGTCTTCGTGCAGTTCGAGAAGCAGCTGGAGCGCACGTCGAGCGTGTGTGCGCGAAGGGTCTTCGCCTGGAACGCCGTCGCGCATAATGTCGCCCACCTCCTGCTTGTCGAACGGATACGGCAGGAACTTCTGCAGGTATTCGTACGCCACCAGCGTCGCACCGAACTGCGGCGATGATCGCAGCACACGCGCCAACGATCCCTTGAAGAAGGCCTTGGGTCCCTCCTCGGCCATGATCTTGCTGGCACAGTCGACGATGCCCTTGTACGTCGCCTGCCCTTTCCTCGCCTCTACTTGCAGACGCGTCTTGATCACATCTGCCGGCGTCGTCAGGAACGCTGCTGGCATACCGGCGATGGCTGCCGATGCAAGCATCTCTCCGAATCCGAGCTTCTTGCCATCCTTGCCCTCGTGGAACGTGTCCTTCTTCAAGTGGGCGTACGCCGGGAAGTAGATGGCAGAGAAGGGAATGTCTCGCATCAGACACGCCGACGCTCCCTTGTACAGACCCACCAGACCCAGCTGGCGCACAATGTGCACCGCACCTCGAGCTACGCGGTCAGCACCCTCAGCCTTGGCAATTTCACCAGCGACCTGCAAACGGATCTTGACAATCTCCAGAGGGTTGGTGAACACCACCTGACAACCACCGGCAGCTCCACCGGCAAACAGCTCCCACGGCAGCGTGATCGCTCCCGAGATGGGATCCTTGGCGTGTCCACGCACTAGATCGTTGACCGTCAGCTTGATGGCCTTCTCGGGAGCTACACCCAGCAGCTGAGGACCGAGACCCGAGTAGAAGCCGCGCAGACCTTCGTTACGGAACACCTTCTTGACGCAGTCTATCGAGTTCTTGTACATGAGCGGTTCACCGACCACCGAAGATCGCTGGTTCTGCATACGCGTCTTGACCAAGTCGATAGGGTAGACGATCGTGGCACCGATGGAACCGGCGATACCACCGAGACCGAAGTTGTACGCCGACTTGGCAACCTCTGTCAGAGCGCTCTTGACTGGCTTCTCCTTCTTTTCCTCCTGGATCTCTTTGAGCCGCGCGGCGGCTAGCTCTTCGCGCTGCTGGCTGTCTGAGGGGTCGGGATGCGGTTCCAAGTCGTCCGAGATCATGAGGTCGTGGCAGATGAGGTTCTCGGTGTCCGTTGCGCCTCGCACCACCGACGTCTTGTACGAGAGCATGCCGGGCGACGACGCGGCCACTTCGCGGCGGAACCTCTCCATGTGATCCCGGAAGGTAGGGTCGGCATCTTGACGCGAGTAGAGCTTGGCGTTGACCACAAAGCGACCCTCGCCAGGCAGATGTGGGATCCAGTAGACACCGTGCTGGCCGCTGCCGTTGCCGTTGGCAGGCTGGGCATTTGCCGGGGCGGCTTGCTGCTGTTCTGATGACGGGGCCGACTCGCAGTGGATCGGCTTCGGCCTGAACACGGCTGGGACAAAATGTGACATGATGTCGACCTCGAATGTGTGTGTGTGTGCGTCCGAGCTACGTGGAGTTGCTTAGGTACGTGTGGATTCTAGCTCGCAGCTTGGCAGTCGATGCTCGCCTTTAGATCGCAATACGGAACGGTGCTCTAGAAATCGATTGTGCAAGCGCTTTCTGTTGCGTCTAAAAGCAACCGCAGAATCTTGTCCGACCTTGTTGTTCGATGCAAATGGGATCCAGGACCGTCTTGACACAACTTGCAGATGATGGGAACCGTCCGAGTCAGCAATGAGGGATTGAATATGAGTGGTGGTAGGCGAAGAGTAAAGGATGAGATGTGTGTCGTGGGATGTGGGTCGGAAGTCAAGCTGTTTGGACGAAGTCGGACGAGGATGTTTTGTGAAATCGGAGCAAGAAGATCTGGAGGAGACAAGCGAGTGCAAGCGAGATCGAGGGCAGCCAAGCCAGATGACGATGCACAGCGTGCCTTCCCCTCTCTCAAATTCCACTTTCAGACAGCCTGAGGAGATCTTGCGGCAGAGAGCAGCCAAGGCCAGCGTGGGGAGCTGACCGACTGACAGCGCCAACACGGGGTCATGCGTGAGGGGTTCGGGGTGTGACTCAAATCAACACCTCCCGCCGCCGCCGATCAATATTTTTCGTTCCTCTCTTCAACTATTCAACTGCACACGGCTATGTGCGCTCTCGTCCGTTTCGAATTGAAAACATTTTTGCGTCGATTCTTTCGAGAAGAAGCTGAAAGCGACCCAGCTGAGACACGCAAACGAACCAATGCCGATCCTTTCTTCCATCTCGTCACATCAATTTCAATTCGCCTCATCCGGTGCTATAGACAGCGCACGGCAGACCTGAGCCTCGTGTGGTTTCGAATTAACGCTGTAGATTCGGCGGCGAGCGACGATGTTGTACTGCAAGCAGACTCAGCTGACCTCTACCGCCCGTCTGATGTCTGCATCCTGCGGTCCTGCAGCGCACAGCTTCTTCCAAAACGGCAGACCGCCGATCCTGACGCGGTACCACAATTGCCGGTAAAAATCCAAAAAGATTCGGCAGCGGACAAGCACAACAACAAAAAGAAAGCTCGACGATAATCAGAAGAATACAACCCGAGCCAACATTGAAATCGACAGAAAGGCTACGAATACATTTCTTTCTCGCCGACCTCTCCCGATGACCGGCGAGCGAGGGTCCTGACTTGTTTTTTAGCTCAACGCAGACAGGAACGGCGATTGACCGGATCTCGTCGTTCATCAACACTCGGCAATCTCTGAGTTTATTTGATCGGGTTTCTGTGCACAGAGCAGCCAGCAAGACGCTGGCGTTCTCGTCTACGCCCGCCCTGTCAAGCTTTGATGTGGTCGAGCCTGAAGCGTACGGCAATGTACTGATGAGCAGTCAGCCAAGGGGAAAAGGCCGACACTTCGGTCCGAAATTCCGCTCGGTGTGACGATGTTGCTTTTGAGTAACGTAACAGTCGATCGTCTTTGCCAGCAGAAGCATGCTGCCTCTCATCACAGAATGCGGCTTTCCCGACGCCTGTGACTGATGTTACTCGACCGGAAGGAACATCACACTCTGATCCGATCACATGCTGGGCGCGGAGAGGGAAACTTCTCTACTTGAAATGCATTGATCCTTAACGAGTCTGTCCAAAAAGTATACTGCTCCGCAGCTCAAGACCTGTTTCGCGTCGTTTCACGTCCATCCTGTTCGTCCTCATCGCTGCTGTCGTCTTCGTGCTCTTCCCCCTGCCCATCTTTGTCGTCCTCGTCGTCGTGCGCCTTTTCATAAAAGCCTGTATGACTCCAGAACAAGCCGAGTGCGCCGACGGCCGATAGCGCAGCGAACAGAGCTTTGAAGAGCCAGACAAACTCGGGATGTCCGCGCTCAAGCGCTACGCCAAACACGAAGGAGGTGAGCAGCGGGACCACTGCTGCCACCACCGTGACCAAGATCTGGTGAGCTGCCAACGCCTTGGTCTGGTCGTCTTCCGACACAGCATTCACCACCAACGCTGTCCTCACAGAGGTGGAGCCTGACGAGATCTGCAACAGCACCACCGAGATAACCAGCGGGATCCAGGGGCTCGACCACCACAATCCTTTGTTGTTGCCGTCGCTGCCGTCCGACGCTGGGGTGGGGGACGACGGTTGCGGCGAGGTAGTCGGTGCCTTGGAGGAGCTTGCCATTACCAGGAAGGATGCGGTTGCGAGCAGGTAGGAGGCGACCATGATCGAGATATCCAGCTTGCCTCGCTGGATGCGCTTGATGAGCTCCGAAGGCGTACTCGTGAAGATTGAATGCGTCTCCCAGCTGCTGCTGCCGTTGGTGAGCCCAGATGCCATCGAACTGCGCTTCTTCGCCTTGAGATTCGAATAGCCTAGCGACGCAGCCGAATTGTACGACGGACGCCGCCGCGCCGGCCTTGCCTCGATCTCGGATCCAGCGGCACTATTGGGTCGCTCCGTTCGACCGTAGTCTCGAGCAGCGACGCTGCCGTAGTGAGTAGCCGAGGAGTCCCGAACGAGCGGTGCTCGCTCTGCGTTACTGCGAGAGGCATCCTGGCCAGGGTCGTTGCTTGCATTGGCTCTGGCCTTTCGACGCTGCTGTCGAGCTGCCTGCTTGAGCTTGCGAACCTGTTTGCGACGTCTAGCGAGTCCGATCTTGGCCACATACCGCCTTGCCAGCGCTACGCCCGGTGGAAAGATGGCGGTGAGGAAAAGCGCGCGCGTGCTCTGCAGGACGCTGACGAGATATCCGTTCTGCAGCACATCGAATCCAAAGCGCTCGCTGTTGTACAGCAGCAAAAGCGGAACCATGAACGCTTGGTACGTCTCTTCAAACACCACCACCGCTGCCAGGTTGAGAAGTCGAAAGTCCATCCTGCTCTCCAGCTTGTGCATGGCGGTGGACATCTGCGCAGGGCCACTCGCGTCCGTGCCAGCTGCACCCGTGTCCGCTTCGTCTACTTCGCGTGCACCTGCCCGCTCCTGTACGGGCGCATCGATGACGTCCTGCTCGGTCGTCGGCACATAATGCCTTCGTTTTGGCCAAAAGATCACGAGCGGACGCAGAAAGTTGAGCTTGCGCAACCGTGACCGCCAGTGAAGCTTTGAAGTGTCCCGATCCGAATGGACAGTCGACCAGGTGACATTGGATTCGTCTGGAGGACCGTTCCCTTCTCCCTCTTCTCCGTTCTCTGTCTCCGCATCGGCCCCTTCGTCTTGCCCGGATGACCCGGACTCGACCTCGTCGTGATGGAGCCACTGGTCGACAAACGTGTGCTCGGCACCCGGTTTGCTCTCAGGTACGATGAGCAGGATGTACGCCACAGCGAGCAACATCAGACCGCAGTCGGCATAGAAGGGCGCGAAGAACTCGTTTGTGAGGCTGGCGAGCAGACCACCCAATGCACTGGAGGGAAAGGCGCCGATCTGACCGAAACCTTCGATGAAGCTGAGAGCACCTGCTCGTTGAGCCTCGGATGTTGTGTCGACGACGTAGTTCTGAATGGCGATGCGAAGTGGAGCGCCAGCGGATGCTTCGGAGAAAACAACGGCGCCATAGAGCACGGCAGCGCCTGCGAGCGGAGGAAGGACGACGGCGAAGCGGAAGACGAGGATGGCGACAGCGATGACAACGTGCGAGATCAGCAAGAGTGGCTTGCGTCCGAAGCGGCGTGAAAGCGTCGAAGCTCGCGAAAGCGTCATGAGCCCGAGCAGCGCACCGACGGTGACCATGGCAGCCGAGTAGGAGGACGTCGACTTTTGCACCCAGGGCAGCGAGCAGCGGGGCGGATTGGGGAGCTCGGGTGCGGGAGGCAGCTTGGTCGTAGTCACAGCGCCCGCCGCGGTTGGCAGGAAGAGCGTTCGGGCGGCGCCGACCAGCCGGGAACCACGGTGCCCAATGGGCTCATCTCGAATGGTAGGGTCGTAGAGCTCGCACATGATGTAGGTGTACACCTTGAACATGGAAGCCAGAGGCATACCGCTTGCCAAGCTGCCGAGGAGCGTCACCACCGCCATGTGATACGGGCTCGGCCGCCCCGATCGAAAGGCCTGCGACACATCGCGAATGGTCTGAGCCGGCGCAGCAACCTCGGAGCCTGCATCTGTATCGTTGTACGAGTCCTCGGTGCCGAAAGAGACGCCGGAAGCTCTCGAATCCTTTCTTCGGCCTAGTTGCTGCCTCGTCGCGTTTGGAGATGAGGGCCGCAGCGTAGAATGCGCAGCAGCTGGTGACCTTGCAGCGTCTGGCGTTCGAGAGCCTGACATGGCGTCGAGAGTGGCAAGCGCCGTACACGCCTAGCTAGGCACGGAGCGACCAAGCACGTCCGTCGCTGCTTGCTGGAGGCTGCAGCTTGTTCGAAGAGCTGGAGCAGGAGAGAGCGAAGAAGAAGCAAGCAAGCGTCGACGATGACAGGGTAAAGACAAGCCCTTTCGAAGGCGCTGGCCAGGTTCGTGGTGGAAGATCAAGAGTGACAGCTCGAGGAGCGGCTGTTTGTCGAGGCTCAGTCACCTTGTCAAAACGACACAGGGTCATGACCAACCGCGGCTTGAAGCTACGTTACCTGCGACCACCGTGGGATAAGCGAGCTGGATCTGAAATATTTGAGCTCTGCCTGTTGTCATGCGACTGACTGCTTTGGTCGAGTGACATCGCTCTGCAGCCGCTGGCTCTTCGATGCGAAAAGTGGAGCTTTTTTCCAATTTTATCTTTTCGGGCCGATTTTTCGTGAGTCAATTCGGCTCGCAGGACAAGATCGACACGCTCAACGGTCTAACATTCCACGACTTTCAAGCTGGACCCTCAATTTCGAAGTTTGGCAGCGTTGCTCCGATGCACAGACCGCCTCACTCCACAACTTCTGACCATCACACTCGCTACTATCCATTCTCCGCCTCAACGCCATCGCAGTCGACTGGGTTTAGGCTTGCAGCGATCGCTTCAGAGTGTGGCGCTCCAGGAGGCAGGGGTCTACCTTAGTCGCTTCTCGAGGTCGGCACAGGTACCAGCACCACCGCCATGGCGGACCGCGCCAACCCCTCCACAGAGAGGATCACGGTCACCTATGCAGCGTCTCAGGCTCTCCTCGCCGCTCCTCTGACTCCTCATTTCCTACACCTCCTCAATGAGCAGCTTCCACTCCGCAACCTGCATTGGCGTCCCAGTCAGTCCACTCTCGATGCCGTCGCAGCTCGCGCCGCTTCGCAGGGCAAAACTGCCCAGCCATCTTCTTCCGTCGTACCTGGCTCCACAATCCGCACCATACAAACGCTGGATATCGCGCTCAAGCCGCTCACGGATGAGATTCGTCGTATGCGCGGGGATCCTGGCTACTTCGACCAACCAGGCACCGCAGCACTCCTCGACCGTCCCTTTGTTCATCTCTACCTTTTGGTCTGCGAAGACAGCGAACACTACCGTACCACCGTTCGCAATGAGATCCGTTCATGGATCAGCAGTCTCTCCTTCTTCACGGCTAGGCAATCATCATCATCGCAGGATGCATCGTCTGTTGGCACGTCGAGCTTTGCATCCTCTTCAAAGACTTCGCTTGCACTCGGTTCCTTGCGCTCGGCAACCCCACCCGTCCGTTCCGAAACGCCCCCTGCGACGAATTCTGGCGCCAATACGCCCACCACTCAAAGCGGTACTCTCAAGTCGGCTTCCACCAGTACCACAGCGCCTGCAGGGCCCACAGAGCCGGAGTATCTCATCGTCCTCATCACCCCACCAGAGGGCGCTGGCGTTGCTGGGCCTGCCGGCGCAGGTGCCACCGGTGCAGACGCAAAGTCCGGCATGAGTCGCTTCATGAACAAGTCCAAGGGCAACGTTCTCGAAAAGGCCCGTGCCGACTTCGACACGTCCAAAAAGGAGCACGTCGTCCAGCTCTCCCGCTTACCACCCGTTCCCGCAGCACCGCTCAGCCGACCCGGCCTGCACTCGATGGACCCCACCATCTGGGCCGAGCTGCTCACAAAGATGCGCGAAGCCGCCTCTTCCACCTTTACCACCACCGTCGAAGCGCAGGAGCACGAAATCGCCCGTTGCGGCATCACCCGAGGTCAGCAGGGTTGGGACTTCTGCAGCTACTTTCTCGCCAAGGACTCGCTCGCGCGCACACTCGAGGCCGTCGGTCTCAAGGACGATGCCGTCGGCCAGTACGAGGATCTCGAAGTTGTGTTTGCGCAGGCGATGCAGAGCGGGGCGGTGTCGTTCGCACCTATAGGTGGAGACGACGAGAACGACGACTCGCTTCCACTGCTCGATGTGAACAAGAAGCCGTATGCCGAGTTGATACGACGTCGCGAGATCTCGCTCTTTGACTTTCGATGCTACCTGTTCGCACGCAAGGCGGCACTCTTGGGTAAGATGGGCAGGGTCGCAGCCGTGATGCGCGAGGCACCGGTGTTCATCAGCGCCGTAGGACGCATGTTGAGGCGCAACAGGCGACTCGGTAGTCAATTTGTGGAGTCCTGGATCTTCTCGGCTGCGCTTGATGTTGTCGAGCAGTGTCAGGCATGGCTCATTCAACGTGGTGGGCAGTCGGTCACCGCAGCTGACGATCAGCTGAGTCCAGCGTTTCACTCGAACAAGTCCGAGCTGCTCGATGTCGCGAGGCGTCAGCTCGACCGTATGGGTATTGAAGCTGGACATCTTCCCGCATCGGAGCCGTTTGCGTATGCTGTAGCAGGAGATGCATCAGAGACGCCGATATCGACGGTGTCTAGGGAGCGCGATCTACCGCCGCTGCCTAACGGTGCAGATGAGACGGCAATCGACGGTCTTGGTCTAGGTCCAGCGGCGGTCGTCACCGAGAAGCGCGGCTCATCCCGACCCGAGCTTCAGCAAGCCGTCGCGTCCAGGGAACACTTCGATTCGCACTACCTGGCTCTGTGTGAGCGCATCTTGTCGGGATGGAAGGTAGCCTCACGCACGCGCGACGCTCTGCACGTTCGCACCATCATCGCGACTCTGCACTACCTGCGCGGAAAATACGAGATTGCGATGGAGAGTCTGCCCGCGCTCACCGAAGAGTACGCGGGCGCCAAGTTCGCCGTGCTCGAACGCCATGCGTTGGGTATGCAGCTGGAGTGCCATGCAAAGCTCGACAAGCCGAGGGATCGGGCGTGGATAGCAGCTGCGCTGGCTGCGTTGAATGTCAGCGTTCGGGCAACTGGCTCGAGCAGCAATCTCGAGGTGGAAGCATCGAAGTGGACCGACCCCGGGTACCTGTGCGATCAGCTTCGTACGGCGTCCTCGGCGCTGGGCAGAGAGGTACCGATCAGCGGGTTCCCGCTGTTTTCGATAGAAGTACCGAGTTCGTCCGCCAAGTTGGCAGAGACCGAAGACGGATCGCTGCTCGAGGTGGACGTTACGTCGCTGCTACCCTGCAAGCAAGCGGTCGAAGACGTGCGCGTCTGCCTCGTCACAGGTGGTGGGAAGACCTTATGGTTCACGTCGTCCAGGACGGAGATCGGGCCGGGCACGACGAAGGTGGAGCTCTTCTGCCCGCATCCTGCGCACGGTGTGTATACGGTCGATGTGACGCAAATCCGGATCGCAAGGGTGATCTTCCAGTACGAGCACGGGACGGCGTCGGAACCGTTCATCGTGAGGGTGCTGAAGGATGGCTCGGCGCCGAGTGTGGCGGTGGGGCTGCCGCGACGGATCGATCTGGACCGTCGGAGGGAGATTGAGTTGACCGTTAGGTCGGGCAGGAATGACATAGAGGTGGCGGAGGTCAGTGTTACGTCGAATGGTGGGTCTGCGCTCGTCGACTATGAGGAGGCCAAGATGTCCGAGGATGGAATGGTGAGCGGTGCCGCCGTAGTCGGGCATGGAAGTGCCACCGCTTCGTCGGCCTCCATCACGACCCTGCGCAGAGACACCTCTGCGGTCATCCTCCTGCCCTTGCTCCAGCTACCAGACTCCGGTGTGCTCGACGCAATCGTCACGCTGAACTACACTTCAACACCGAACGATTCGCAGCGCCACGCGAGCGCCACGAAGCGCACCCTCAAACTCCCCGTACAGCTCCGCACTGCCCTTCCGCTGGGGGTCAATGTGCAGGACTTCTTCCGCACCTCTTGCCTCCTGTCCAAGTTCACCATATCTACGGGTGGGGGTGGGAGTCTGAGGCTGCAACCTGTGACGCTGCTTCACGACGAAGATGCCAACGGTGAGGGTGGGACGGTGTACAAGATCGATTCTTGTGGGTCGTCGAGGGAGGCGACTGTGACACCGAGGCAGCCTGCGACGTATCTTTTCCGGGTGTCGAAGGGTGAGGCAGGGAGAGTGGAGGGAGGAAAGGGTAGGATGAGGTTGACGGTGCGGTATCGAGGTTTACAGGAGGATGCGATTGAGGCGGTGGGGAGAGCGTTGGATGTTGAGATCGGGAGGGGCGAAAAGAGACGGGGATTGGAGAGTGGTACGGCGAATAGGAGGCTGCTGGACGATGCGCTTGGGACGTATCTGCGGGAACGGTTGGATCTGCCTGCCTTTTCGATCACCGGGCAGGTGAGGACAGGGGCTTTGGATAGGCAGTGGTGGAGCAGGGAGAGGCGGTCGTGGGGCCAGTGCACGTTGACGCTGGACGAGCTGGTTGAACTGCTGAGGGCGACGCTGGATGGTGTTTCGACCGGAGTGCAGGCGGCGGCGACAGAGGAGGAGATTTGGCAGACACTGACGATTCCAGTCGACGTGCCAAGTGTCGACTACGTCAACGCGGTCACACTCAGTCTTAGCTCTGCAAACAAGGTCGTTGCTGGTGTCGAGTCGACTTCGACAGATCCCACTTCGATCATCGTAGGACAGCCGGTCGATCTAGTCATTTCGATCAACACCTCTACCGCGTGGTCAACCTCTCCGCACGACGATGGGGAGACGATGGTGTACGACGTGGTGCCGGACTTTGAAACCTGGTTGGTGGACGGATCGAAGCGAGGGACGTTCCCTGTCAAACACGATCCGCTGTCTTTGGCGGGCAAGAGTGGCACATTCAGTGTGACGCTCACGGTCGTACCGCTGCGGACGGGCAGTCTGGTTCTCCCTTCGGTTCAGGTGAGGCCGATGTCGACGCTAGTGCCGACAAGGATGGGAGAGGAAGGGAGAGTGGCGACGTGCGAGACGTACGTCACGAATGCGGGGCAGAGGGTGGATGTTGTGCCGGCTAGATCGGTCACTGCGTTTTTGGTGCCCATTGAGGGTGCTGCAAGTGGGGCAAGGAGGGATAGCTGGACGAGCAAAGGTGGTGTTGGGATGGCGGGGTTGGACAGGATGCGATCCGTTTGGCAGAGTCAACAGTATCTACACGCTGGGTAGGGGCTTCACCCTCCGATCGTCACAGCTCAAACAATCATACCAGCAGACTCCAGTCACAGACATGGTGAACAAACAAGAAAACTTGTCTTGTCGAATGCAATTCCTCAAACGAGAACTTGAGAGAACGCTCACCAAAACCCATCATCGTCGTCACCGCCACCACCTCCACCCTTGCCCTTACTGCTGTTGACCACCTGCGATCTGTACATGGCCTCGATCTGTTCCGGACTGGTGCTTTCCTCGCTCGTCTTGTCGTCCCTGATCCTGATGAATCTCGGGAACCTCAGACTGATCCCCCTCTGTTCGACCAACCCTTTCGCCGCCGTGTACACGGGACTCAGACTCAGATCCGCCGTCAACACCTCCCACACCACCTTGGCTTCGAAGTACACATCCGGTTTCGCCTCGCCGACGTCGTAATACCCTTTCTTGCCGGAGATCTCCAACTCTTTGAGGGTTTTGTAGTGCGTTTCGAGATCTTGTTCGGTGAAACCGGTTCCGATCTTACAGATAGTCTGGTAGGTTTCGGAATCGGCGTCGTAGCAGGCGAGTAGGAAGGCTCCGTAGACGTTGGTTCGTTTGCCCTTACCGTAGTATCCGCCGATGACGACGAGATCCAGCGAATCTCCCGTTCCAGCCAGATAGTCCTTCTTCAGCTTCAACCAGTTCATCGATCGTCGAGATGGTTCGTACGTCGAATCCGGTCCAGAGAGCATCTTGACCATGAGACCTTCGCATCCTTCCTTGACGGATTTGTCGAGGAACACGGAGATCTCTTCGACCGATTCGCAGTCTTCGGATCGTGCGTAGTCGAACTCGTCTTCCACCGGCGTGAAGTGCTCTTGCAGGAGTGCTCGGCGTTCGGCGAGCGGGAGGGAGAGCAAAGGTTGACCGTTGAGGTAGAGAAGGTCGAACCCGAAGAGTTTGACCTTGATCTTGATGTCCTCGGCTTTGACATCCTTTCGTTTTCGTCGCGATAGCTCTTGGAAGGGAAGCAGTTTGGCTGGTTCCATCACGCCTTCCACGTTGACCTCGGCTTTCTTCCACGCCGCCGCTTCAGCGTCGAGCACGAAGGACTTGACCGAAGGCTTGATGCAGCGAGGGATCTGTTCGACCAAGTCGGGGTATTTGACCGACATGTTTTCGGAGTTGCGCGAAAAGACGGCGAGCTTGCCGTCGGGTAGCAGGTGGACTTGCGCACGTTCTCCATCGTACTTGTATTCGCAGGTGAACGGCTTGCCTTCAAAACGGTCGAGCACTTCGGAGATCGCTTTGGTTGGTTTGGCAAGCATCGGTTTGAGCGGTACTCCGGGGGTGAGCTTGCATTCGGTGCGTAGACCTTCGACTCCTCCTTTCAGCAATGCTGGTATGACGAGATCGTAGGATGGAAGTTCCGAGTAGACGGCTTTGACTACCTCAGTTCCGTCTTCGAGCTGCTTTGCGAGCGATTCTTGGGAAAGCTTGGAGATGTTCTTGCCGAGTTTCGAAATGACGACTGCACGAGCGAGTGATACCAGCACGGAACGTTCGGCGAGACCGATACGAAGTTTGCCCTCCAAACTGCGGATGAGGAACTTCGGTTCTTCGCCCTGACACGAAGCAAGCAGCTTCTTGATCATGCCGATCTTTCGATCTTGCGACTTGTTGCCGCTGACTACGGCGATCTCCTTGAGCTGCTTGAACACCTGAGGCACCTTTAAGCTCGAGACTTTGAACATGGTCGGTTGATTCTTCTTCGAATTGAGCGCGACAAGACCCAAATCACCCTGCGCTTCGAGATCCTTCTTGATGCGGGCTACTTCACGACCTGTCGATTGGGCGATAGCTTTGATGAGCAGCGATTCTCCGATTCCCAACTCCAACCCTTCGTAGTCGGGACAGAGGCGATTGATGCAGAGGTATACCACCTGGAGCAAGTTGTCGGGAGACCTCTTGATGACGCGAACGAGGAATTGGGTGAGGATCTCGGTGATCTCGAGTCGTTTCGTCGTGGCTTGGATGTCGGCGAAGGTGGATGCGAGAGCAGAGTAGGGGACGGCTTCACCTTCCTTCCATGCGACTTTGCCTTCGTTGACTGCGGATGTTTTCTGGAAGATGGCGGCGAGCTTTTTCGCTCCCTTCTGTTCTTCCTCGGCGATGGCTTCTTCTTCGTGGTCAGAAGAGACGTCGTCAGGGATGTGCTCGCTGTCGGCATCGGATTCGCTGTCGGTATGATCATCGGCGATGGAGATGGCGCCTTTGTTGGCCACGGCACTAGGTTTTGGTGGAGGCTTGGAGAAGATCGAGGCTACTTTGCTGGAAGATGCAGGAGCGGAGGTAGATTCCTTCTTGACGGGTGCTGATGCTGGCGCTGAGCTCAGCACAGGCTCTTCGTCATCTTCGTCATCCGACTCGACGATCCGGCGTTTCTTTCGTTGTGGCGCTGCTGTGTCCGGAGCAGCGGCGCTGCTCGTACCATTGCCGTTGGAGGCTTCCCCTTTTGTTGAAGAAGTAGAGGCTGTCAGCTCAGCCTCTTCGCCTTTTGTTTCAAGCTCCTTCGACGCTGGCTTTGGCGGCTTGGGAGCGAAAGCAGACTTGATATCTTGCTGGCGAGGCTTCTGCGCGGCTGATCCGTTGCCATTTGCGCTGCTACCCCCGCCGAAGAATTTGGCGAGCTTCGGCTGTTCCGTCATCGAGGCTGCTCGCTGTTTGCTGACCGCTGTCGGATTCGACCCGATCAATCGGAATGCGAGTGTTGTGACGATGTTGGTGCGCTGCTGGAAGGTTTGTGTCGGGGATGAGGCCGATTTCTCAGCTCAAGCAGCTCGGTGGGGAATGTGAAATCAGCCGTCTGTCAGCAAAATGAGGCTTCGCGTGCGCCAAACCAACACTCGGATCGCGCGGTACCAAAGCTCAGGCGCGTCCATTTACGCCATGCCTCCGCAGAAAGTCGCGCCTCGCCCTCACAAAAATCGGCGCAGACTTGGCTGAGCTAGGAAGGCCTAACAGACTGCTTTTATCTCTCTATTTAGACCTACTCGCAAAGCGGCGTGACGAAGTTGACACTTGTGTTTGTCGCCGAGGCTGCGGACATGGTGACCAACAATGGCGCTCAGGTAGTTATAGCTCGCGCCTTGCGCCATGATCTGTCTGTCGATATTTCAGTAGAAAGCGAAATTTTACGGGACTAAGCGCTGTGGGACTCTCCCGGGTTCTCCTTGGTTGCTTCGTCTTGCTGGTGGCCGGTCAGCGCCTGTTGAGCGGTACGAGCTTCATATTGAGCCTTGTGGAGATCGCACACTCCCCACCGCATGCACCAAGGAGGGTATCGACACTCAATACAGTCCGAACCAGTGCAGATCCTCCTCAGCTCCTCGCAACGGCATTCAGAACTTGACGGAGCAAGTGAAGCGGCACATCCATTCTCTGGGTATCGGCCTTCTCGCATGACTTCCTCGACAGTCTCGGTGTCGTTTCGAGGCACAATGCGATAATTGTTGCGATTGAGGTCAGACTTGCATAGTCCAAGCCCGCAGTAGGCGTAGCTTGGAATCCCGTGGAGCTTCCAAGTGAAGTCGCCATGAGGCCCGGTTCCTTCTGCGTTTGCCGTATCCAGAAAAATCTTTAGATCTTCGCCTTCTTCTGGAGGAGCAGAGCTGAGCGGCACGAAGCCAATCAATTTGAAGACTTCTGGGTGTGGGTACGTCTCGAAAAGGCTGTGGTTGTGCGAAACATTGTGTCCCTGGTAGCCTCTGATAAAACGCAGCGGAACGAGGTCGTGACCATCATGGCAACTTGAGACCAGGACTGCGTCAAAGGAGGTGGGACGAAAGATTCGATGGCTGGGAAGTCCACGTAGAAATCGTGAGGAAAGTAGGGAGGAACCCAATGTGACTAAAGTCTGCGACTCAGATTGGGCCCTCAGCCATTTCTTTCCCACCGTTCGGCGAATTGTACCCACTAGCAACAAGTCACAGCCCTAGCTGTCGATATCATCGAGCTTCGACAAAGTATTCTTTGCACTGACTCGGATCAGAAAGTCTTCATTTTGCCGGAGGGTGTGCTGCGCTCGCCCCACAGGCGATCTGGTGGAACCCCTTTTGTTTCATCGAAGTCGCCTGTGCGCCCGCTTCATCTCCGATGTTCATCTCCTCACAGCACCATCTCAGCTTGTCACCACATCACAACTAATCTTGTTCGAATCTGAGACTCGCACGGCAGCTCAATTGTGCTTCTTTCGTCGTAAGCATGGTCACATCCAGCCATCCTCGCGTCTCTGTTTTGGGGCCGGAAATGATTCGCCTCTTTCCATGGCTGCATGGCGGAAAGACACGCCACTGGGTGGGTCATGAAACGGCACTGGCGGCTAGAACAGACTCTCGGAGGTCGTCTCGGCATCGGTGACCAGCCGTTCCGCATTCTAAAATCTGAGGTTCATCCCTAAGCGTTATTTGACGGTCGTTCTGTATTCCACCGCCACCCAGTCCATGCACGTTTTGGTGACGTCGGGCCAGCCGTTTCCGTCAACCGGTGAAGTGGTTCGATGGCCGGGCGGTTCGGGTCTGCAGACGCGTTTTTTTCGCTCGGTTACCAGGTGCCGAGCCGTCTTGCCGCTGTGGGCCCTTCGTTGGCACCAGGCGGCCTCAGCCTGATCGATGAGGCTCTACTTATCTCGGGCTTCAATGCCGATTTCTGAATGTAGGTTGAGACAGAGCGAAGCTATATCAAGTCAAGGGCGGATCCCTTTTCCCGTGTCAGAATCGAACGAGCGAAGTGACATCTCTCAGTGCCAGCCTGCTTTCTATCATCCTTTTCAGCAACCCACTTCATACATGATCTCGCAGTCTATTATCGCTATCTGTGCAGTCTTGGTGTCATGCGTCGTATCCGTATCCACAAACGCGACTAATGTCGTCGACAACCATCGTCTGTTTTCGGGAAGAATTCCACATCCCCAGCTCTTCGGTATTTCGGGATATGTTGCCTCGACCACGGTTGGCGCTGGAGGTGGTGAAGGTCTCAAGATCTTTCCCGATCTAGCCAACGCCGAAGGCACTGGCTCACATGTCGACTGGACTTGGAGGCTTCACGGCATCCCCTCGTACCTATACACCGAGCACAATTTAAGCTCGGCAGATCTCGAGCGCAACAGCTACCGTATCGTTCAGGACAAAGCTCCGGACAGCGACTCGGACGCTCGGCCTTCGTACACGGTGGTTCTCGCCTCAGCTTCGACTGTCACGCTCGACAAACGGACCGATTGTCTGGTCCGCGATACTCCACCGGCTTCCTGTCAACTCGGCAGTCCGATGTAATTTCAACCACGCCGCCACACTGGAGGATTGCCAATACCTTTTCTACCAAATGAGGGATAACCTCTGCATCCCCTTCGATGGAGCAGGTCGCGTCATCCAAACCTTTCGCTCGTGCGGCATCGTCGCACAGGCGAACGGAAGCATCTTGACTTGCGCCAAACCCGCAGACATGGCTAGACTTGCCCTGCCCATCATCGATCAATGCTGGCGCCGCTATGGTGACGGCCCGTGCACCAACTGGGCGAGCGGCGTGACCGACAGCAGCGCATACATCCCCAAGACGTGCGTGTGCAACAACAATAGCGTCAGGGCCTGCTAGGCGACACGATTCGTCAAAACAGCTTGGCTGTTTACTGTACTCCGCATTAGCGTTCCGAGCTCCATTCGTCAAGTCTTGCGAATGTTTGACTGCCACAGCTGCGAAACTTGTCGACGACCTTATGTCGACCTCCATCGCATGATACAACATGGATATCGATGACATTTTTTTGTTTGTATATATATGCATATGCTAGAAACACTAACAACAAGGCACTATGGCGGAGTGGTTATCGCGTAGCACTCGAACTCTTCACTTGCAGATCGAGCAACACTCAAACAATATGCTATTCCCCCTGGGAGCGCAGGTTCAAATCCTGCTGGTGTCGTTTTTTTTCAATCCGATCCGGCATTGCTTTTTTTGACCCTGTTTTGTTTGACTTTTTGGAGGAAATTCCTAGAGTGGAACTGGCGAAGTGCAGTTAATATTATAGAATTGTAGACGGAAACAAGGGTCCCATGGTCTTCTCGCTTGTCAGCAGCGGTCTACAGAGCTCCACCCATCCGCATCTGATCTTTCTCGACAAGGTTTTGATCGCTGCCGATGCTCCTTGGTGCTGGTCACGAAGAATGACGAGAGCACAGCAGCGTCTTGACATATGAATTAAGATACATGATCGTAGAAATCGCGACTTGGAGAGGTGAGTGCGGAAGAGATACACAAAAAGGAAGAGGGAGGGGCCAAGTCTGAATGGGGGGGG